CACACACACACACACACACACACACACACACACACACACACACACACCCTTCTCAGTTACATCATGGCATGTGAAAGTCACATAGAATTAAAGTGTCTCTGCATGCAAGCACAGCTGTGCCAGACATAGCTGAAGCTTGAATTCTCTATAGCAAAGAGAGAGTTGTAACAAAACTACCACAGGCCCAGGGATCTAAAATGTTACTCTGTGGCCCTTTGAAGACTCTTGCACATTTCCAGTGGCTGCTGGAGATGGGCAGCATCAGAGAACTGTCACAAATCCAGCGTGAGACCCAACCCTGCCCACGGGTGCTGGCCACTGGCTACACTAGCTCAGCTTCTGAGAGCAAAGCAGCACCTGCTGCCTGGGGCCTGAGGGCCATCTCACAGCAACACTCAATACCCTGCCACAGCCAGGCCAGCCCTGCCGCGCCTCCCTGCACCACTGGCTCCTGCCTGGTCGAGCACTCACGTGGGCGGGAGAGCTGCGGTTACTCTCCTCTAAAAATTCCTCCAAGGTGACCATCTCACTGCTGGGAGAGGCCGAGCGGGGCCGCACCCCAGTGTGGGCTGGAGCACCCCTCTTCTGCATACTCTCCTGGAGGACAGGCCCATTCCGGGGTGGAGGGTACTCATGGCGGCCGAGAACGCCACGCCCTGGGGTGCTGGCATCTCGAGACAGTGTGGTGAGGTCCCTGCTGGGGATCAGGTCTGCGCTGCTGAAGCTCTCACAGCGGCTGTGCAGATGGTCAGAGGAACCTGTAGGGCAACATGGCAGCACAGATCAGTCTTGGCCCTCGCCTGCCCCCCGCAGCTTACCTAAAACCATCCCGACTGAGAAAAACTGCCCTAAGCCCTGGCACCACTCCTGTTCAGCTGATTCCTTCTGCAGCCATTAACACTTTACTCTTAAAGTGATGAAAAGGAAACGTAGAAAATGTTCACTAAGATTTCAGAATACATTTTTAAAAATGTTTCCCATCTCCTAGGCAGCAGGCATGATGTATGTATGTATTAAAAACCAAACCAAACCAAACTCTACACCTCATGTTGCCCAGGATGGCTTAAAACTTGCTGGAGACCTTGAACTTACAATCCTCCAACCTTTACCTCCCAGGTGCTGGGATTACAGGCCTGCACCCAGTTTACACAGCACCGGGGGCTGAATTCAGGGCTTCAAGCACGTTAAGCCAACACTCCATCAACTGAGCTATATCCCCAGCCTTATTTTTCTAATCTTAAGACATTGTGTGTGTGTATACATATATCCATCCATCCTGCTGGGACTAACAATTTTCTTTGTGCCACAAAATATAGAAACCCTGGGTGGAAAGTGTGTGTGTGTTGAGGTATAAGGGTCACGCTGAGCAATAAGCCCGGTGCAGAAATAGGGGATGCCTCGTGCATATCATCCTTGCTCAGAAATCATGGCCATCTCTTCGGCATTGTTCCACGAGTGCTGCTGAAGCGGTCAGTGAAGTTTAAATTACTAATCCTGACATGCTCCTGCAGTCAAGCATGTAGAAGCGCAGAAGAAAATCTCAGTGAAGTTTAGTCTCAAGCAATAAGGTCATGTGACAGCCTATGTCCTCTCCAAATGGGAACTTCATGAAAGCAGACCTGAAGTAAAACCCTTAAAATTTAAATTTTCTGTTTTAAAAAAACCGGATTTGGCCTGGGGATGCCCCTCATTTGTCAGAGTGCTTGGCTAATGTGCCTGGAGTCTGGGTTAGAGCCCCAGCATCACATCGAGGGATGCTGTGGTTTCCACTATAAAGTGAGCTGAAAACCAGCCTGGGATACAAACCTCATAAAAAAAAAATCACATTTATTCTCAGTTCTGAGTGGGAAAGAACACTGGTCCCTGTCCCTAACCACATCGCTGGGACCCAGAGGATCCATGACTCACCCACATCCTTGGGGCAGGCAGGGGAAAAAAAGGATTCGAGCCCTAATTTGCTCCAAGCAACCTAGCCTGTGCTAGAAACCTTGGTGCCCCGCCCATGACCAGAGCGTGTCTCAAGCCCTGCAAGCTATGCAGACTCTGTATGGTAAGAATGGTATGAGCCCAGAGCTGAAAGCCCAAATAAATGATCCCAAGTGTTCCCGGGCCAGGGCCTTACCTTTGAGGCTCAGGGGTGAGCTGCTGCTGGATGTGTTCCTACTGCTCTCCAAGCTGTTTGGCCGAGATGCTGAGGGGGAAACGGCCATATTTAATACAAAGAGTCAACAGCCAGGTAGATCCTGGGTTAATTTAACATCCGACCCAAGGAAAAAAACAATTAAAGTGATTCCACGCAAGCTCAGGCCAGTGCCCGCAGCCAAGAAGGCTGCAGGATGCTGCATACAACCTTCCGAGGCAACTGGCTTCAGCACCAGAAAGTTGGGCACAGCACTCAGCAGGCTCGCTGTGACAGAACAGGCCACACCACAGAATTCTAGTACGAAGAGTAGATAAGGGCTCCCCTGGGCAAGCCCAAAGTTGGACCTCAGAGACCGCCTGTCCTAGGATGAGCCAAAAAAAAGACTTGGAGTTTGGGAGCAGTACTGGACGAAGAGGGACAGTCAGAGACAAGTGCAGGCTGCTCTGTAACAGGCACCAAAGGGGAGAGACAACACAATCTGCCCAAGCACCCCTGTTTTTCATTTATATTTTATTTCATTTTGAATTAATGCCTTACGGGGTAACGTAGGGTAGCCTTGAACTCACAATTCCCTTGTCTGAGCCTCCTGAAAGCTGAGATGATCCACCAACCCTGCTACCCTGTGTTCACTTAAAAACAAAAACAAATTTGGTTTATTCCATACACCAACCAGAGATATTAGAGGAGTTGGGAAGTGTATGAAAAACCCTCGTTTTTCATTGCTGAGTAATATTCCATTGTGTAGATGTACCACAATTTCTGTATCCACTCTTCAGTCGAGGGGCATCTGGGCTGTTTCCAGCTTCTGGCTATTACAAATAAAGCTGCTACAAACATAGTTGAGCAAATGTCCTTACTGTGTACTTGAGCCTCTTTTCGATATATGTCTAGGAGTGGTACAGCTGGATCTTGAGGAAGCTCTATTCCTAGTTGTCTGAGAAAGCACCAGATTGATTTCCAGAGTGGTTTACAAGTTTACATTCCCACCAGCAGTGGAGGAGGGTTCCCCTTTCTCCACATCCTCTCCAGCATGTGTTGTCACTTGAGTTTTTCATCTTGGCCATTCTGATGAGTGTAAGGTGAAATCTCAGGGTCGTTTTGATTTGCATATCCCTGATGGCTAATGAGGTTGAGCATTTCTTTAAGTGTTTCTCTGCCATTCGATATTCCTCTATTGAGAATTCTGTTTAGCTCTGTTCCCCATTTTTTTAATTGGATTACTTGGTTTGTTGTTTTTCAGCTTCTTTAGTTCTTTATATATACTGGATATTAGCCCTCTGTCATATAAAGGGTTGGTGAAGATTCTTTCCCAGTCTGTAGAAACTGTGGTACAGCTACACAATGGAATATTACTCAGCAATGAAAAACAAGGAAATCATGAAATTTGCAGATAAATGGTGGGAACTGGAAAGGATCATCCTGAGTGAGCTGTCCCAGAAACAGAAAGACACACATGGTATATATTCACTCATATAGACATATAATATAGAATAAACCTACTAAAATCTGTACATCTAAAGAAACTAATCAAGAGGGAGGACTCTTGACTAAAATGCTCAATCCCCATCCCGAAAGGCAAAGAGGATAGATATCAGAAGAAGAAGAAAACAGGAAACAAGTTAGGAACCTGCCACAGAGGGCCTCTGAAAGGCTCTGCCCTGCAGACTATCAAAGCAGATGCTGAGACTTATGGCCAACTGTTGGGCAGAGTGCATGGAATCTTATGAAAGAAGTGGGAAGTAGTAAGATCTGCAGAGGACAGGAACTCCACAAGGAGAGCAACAGAACCAGAAAATTTGAACACAGGGATCTTTCCAGAGACTCATACTCCAACCAAGTACCATGCATGGAGATAACCTAGAACCCCTGCACAGATGTAGCCCATGGTAGTTCAGTGTCCAAGTGGGTTCCATAGTAATGGGAACAGGACTGCCTCTGACATAATCTGATTGGCCTGCTCTTTCATTACCTCCCCCTGAGGGGGGAGCAGCCTTACCAGGCCACAGAAGATGACAATGCAGCCACTCCTGATGAGATCTGATAGACTAGGATCAGAAGGAAGGAGATGGGGACCTCCCCTATCAGTGGACTTGGGAGGGGCAAGCAAGAAGGGGGAGGGAGGGTGGGATTAGGAGGGGAGGAGGAAGGGGTTTATGGGGGGGATACAAAGTGAATAAAGTATAACTAATAAAAGTTAAAAAAAATCACATAAACCAAAAAAAAAAAAAAAGAAAGAAGAAAGAAAGGAAGAAAGAAAAAGAAAGAAAGAAAGAAAGAAAGAAAGAAAGAAAGAAAGAAAGAAAGAAAGAAAGACCCTGTGGCCAGGCACCAAAGTGGCTATTCAGTGAGCTGGTGCACTTGGAAGGACCCCCTTCCTACTACAGGGTCCCCCATTCTGGGCTCCTGGGTCAAGAGGCCTCATTAAAGTGTCTTTACTTACAGATCATAAATAACTAATGTCAACACCATCACTCTCAACAGTGGGTAGGACGTAACGATGGCTGCTCAACTACTGAGCGCATCAGACATAAACTGAACCCATGTAAACCTGCCCACATTTCCCTCCTAAGGAATCTCTTCCTACACTTCTAGGGCTTTTTTTAAGCATTTGTTTATCTAGTGTGGGGTGTGCGTTTGCATGCGCACATGTGTACACACACAGAGGTCAGAGGACAACTTGCAGAAGCTGGTTCTCTCCTTTACCATGTGGATTCTGGGACCGAACTCAGGCCATCAAGCTTGGTGGCAGGTGCCTTTACCCACTGCGCCATCACACTCTTTCCTGTATTTTTAAACATTCCTCCTTTTAAAGAATTTATTTGCCTGTTTTGTGTGTGTGTACAAATGAGCCAACATAAGTATTCTGAGCAAGAACAGAGTGCTGGCCTTCCCAAAACAAACCCCTGCATTGATCCCCAGCACTCCCTGACACACCTGGAGGGTGTTGTAGAGCAGGTAAGCCATGTCAAGAGTTTCCAGAACCTGGGGCTTGTAGGGGCCACGAGTCCCCTACCTATAGAGGATGCCAAGTGAGAGTTGTGTGGTGAGGCTCTTGGGCAGGGCAGAGAAGGCTGCAGCCCTCCATCCCTGCGTCCATCATAACCATCCCACCTTCAACTCTTTTGCGTGTTAGGGTCCCATGACTTCCACACTTAGCTTAAACGCCAAGTGCTATTGACAAAACCCAACAAATACCGCTCAGCCACTCACCCTGCTGCCTGTGGTGGAGGCCCTCCGGCTCTGCGGGTAGCTCGCAGAGGTTGTCCTCAGAATTGCAACCTAAGGTGAGAATAAAGTTAATGTATTAGGGTTCTAGGATGCCTAAAACCTCCAGGGAAACCTAAGTCCCTGGCTGCAAGACCAACTTGTGCCTTTAGCCCCCAATTCACAGCAGGGTCCAGTCCTTGGGGTAAGGGAGGGAGGTGGTGTGAATGGTGCCTCCACTCATCTCTCTAGCTGGGAAGAGGAGGCAGGCTGAGGCACTTGCTCATTCCACTTAACTTTAAGTCCACTTGGGTCTGTGCAAGAAGGGCTAGAAGATAAATGTGAGCTCTGGCCTCAGGACCAGGTAAAGGAGCTGATGGTCTAGTGCCCCAGGAACCTTTCTACCCCCAAAGGCAGAGGGCAGGAAAACAATTCCTCTTTAGGGACCACATTACCAACAGGTGGCAGGAGGAAAGGAAAGGAAAAGGAGAACAAAGTGGGACCCGTCACACAAGGTGGAATTCAAGGGCGAGAAAGCCTTGCACTCTCAGCTCCCAACACATTAGTCGGGGAAGCCTCCAGCCAGCCACCAAGCTTGCCAGTTCCTATCTGAGCACTGAATGTGGGGTTCCCTCTGAAAAGACAAGGCCTCCATATTAAAACCAGATACCTACCCATTGGCAGCAACTGTCCAGACTGTGAGGGTTCCTAAGTTTAGGGACATGTGCGTTGCTTGTATTCTACTGATGGCATCAAGGCTGTGCATGCCTGAGCCTTCCAGGGCTGAGTGTATAGTCCTAGCCCTGAAGAAGCAATCATACTCAGCTGGTTTTGGTCTGTCTTTCTCTTCTTTCCTTCCTTCTTTCTTTTTAATCTATTGTCAATTAGAGGGATGGCTGTTTAGGTTTTCTTTTCCTTTTGTTTACCTACTTTAGATTTTCAAATGCTTCCCTCTTGCCATCATTTCTTTCATAGCATCCTGTTCTTGTTTCACGAACACAGAAACTTTTCTTATCACTGTTAGGCATTTTTAGCATTTTCATATCCATCCTTCCTAACACCCCAGTTTATGCCACTGACTTTTGCATTGTTTTTTTTTCTTTTCCCTCAGTTTGGGGCTGCAGGCTCTTCTTGGGTGTCCACAGAATCCTTGACCTTGTATGGGTTTATATGACAACATCTGACCACGCCAACTGGCCTGGAATTTCTCCATATAATGAGACTCATAGGCTATCAGTTTCGTGCCTCAGGTATGAACACATGTAGCCACTGGAGCTCTAGGATACAGCAGATCTGCAAGTCCTTCACTGCTGCTGCTGTTTTTGTTACGTTTCAACATCTGCCCTCAGTTCTGTCAACGGGCTTCTGGGTTAGAGACCCTCTCAATCATCTCTTCTAGAGAAAATACCTCCTGACTCCAGGGAGCTGCCTGGTGTTGGCCCAGCTCTGGTGCCACAGAGGCCTGAACGCTGCTGTTGCTGCTGCTGCTGCTAGACTCTGAGGCTTTTCTCCTGGTACTTAGGCCTACTGATGGTTGAATTATTTATCCAAAGACACTTGGCTGGCAAGTAGAGACAAGGCTTGCGCCAACTTGTGACTTGGAAGTCTTCATCAGCTTCTCGCTTCTGCTCATACGTCTGGTCTTTAGGAGGGCTCAGGCCCAGAGCTCACCCTTTAGAGGGGTCATACTCACCTTTGGTGCGGCCTAGGTGCTTGGGGACAGGAGTGGAGCTGGAAGGGGCTGCCATGATGGCTGAGGTTGAAAAAGTCCGGGAGCCAGGCTCCGAGGGCCAGGACTTCACAGCTGGGTCAGCGGAGGTGTCTGTGTGGTCAACACTGCCTCCTCGTGGGGACCCTCGCTTTGATTTTAGATCCCCGGAGCCTGGGGCAGAAGACATCGAGAAATGAGGTTGTAAGCCCATGCCAAGGATGGGCGAGCACACGGAGGCCCAAAGCAGGTGCAGCAGGGCACACAGACCACAGACACATGAGCTGGCTGGCCTTCCAGCTGCAGCTGATAGTAGGAGGGCACAAGGGCCACATGGTTAGCGTTAGGGGGACTGGCGGAGAAGGAACAAACTCAAGAGGATAACTAAAAGGTTGGATGGTCCAAAGGTCGGTTTGCTGTGATCCTGTACAGAACTCCATGCCCTGTCTCAACAGCCCAAGCAAGTATGGACAGATATCTTCTCACACTTGTCACTGAGGTGCTGAGGACCCTGACAACTGGATTCCATGTGGTGTCAAAAAGAAGTCTGCTGCCAAGCTCACAATCGTTTGTTCTCAGAAAAACAAAACAAATCAAGCAAAAACAAAACCCAGCAACTTTCCACAAGGTGGTTTTCACCCTGCATCTTATGCTTTTAAACAGGGTTAGTTTTCTGCTGGAAACATATACCTATTGAAATTAAATAGTATTTTAAAAAAGTGGCTCCCCCCAAAAAAAAAAACCAACAAAAACAACCAAACAAAAAATACCCAAAAAACAAAACTCACCCAAATAACGAGAAAATCAAATAGGAATAAATCTGGGATCTCCAGATACAAGATATAAATGAGCAGGGAGGGCTGATGACATAGCATTGGTGGGAGGGGGCCTGCACGGCATGTGGAAGACCCAGGGTGTGAACCCCAGTACCCCAAACAAACAAAATAAAAACGTGGGAATATTCCTAACAGCTGGCCAGGCCTTTTGTGCAATGCCTATGCATAGGCATATGGGCTCTTCTCTGTGAGGTTTCCATGCCCAGATCTTAGATTTGAACAGAAAGAGGGATCTGAACTCTGGAGGAATGCTCTGATGAGAAGCAAGACACAAGTCTGGCAGAATGACCAGTGTCGAGGTCTTCCTGTATGTTAGGTGGCAATGAAGGTCCAGAGGGGAGGGGAGATGAGCGAACAGTTAGCATGAGTACCAGAGACTAGCACAATTCCAACAGCATGCAAGGAGGACAGACTCTGGGACCAGGAGCCTTTATGACTTAGAGTTCTTAAAGACAGGGTCACAAGCTGAAGTCAGGGGCAATGATAAACAATCTTTAACACTGTCATAGTTACAGGTGCATTATGGTCACCTGATTTCTATGGTGACACTTGTTTTCCTTGTGCAGCACAGTGTTGGCAATAACTTTTCCTTTTAAAGTGACCTGCAGATAGTGAGTCACTTTAAGGGAGAATATATAAAACACATATAGGAGCCTGGGGGCCATGGCCCAAATCACAGAGCTGGGGTGTAGAAATGGCTCAAGGTGGAAACATGACAGTGGGGGGTAGTGACCTCTCTGGTCACCATCTTCCCCTGCTCTGGGTGTGACGTATATCCTGATATACTTTCTGTCCACTATGGTTTTGATTTCACCATCCAAGATGTTAGAGAATCACAACAGTCATAAAACTTCTGTCTGGCTGGTAAAAATCAGTTCAGTGATTCAAAATGCTCAAGCAGAGCAGTCAACACAGAACTGGGGGCTCCGGAGCAGAAGGCAGTAACTCTGTATTCTGACAAAGAGAGGGAACAAGCTCTAGCTGCTTGTAAACAAACCTTTAGAAAGGTGGTTCACTCGCTGGTGGATATTTTAGGAAGCATAGCTTAGACAACTGGCCACTTCCGCTTTGCACACGGGCATGACAGAAGCTTGCAGACGCAGGAGGGGGAGGAACACAAAGCCTCTTCACTTACTTAGCACGGATCTCCTGGCCCAAGGACAAGTAAGTGCACGTACATCCTGAGGGTCCCCTAAAACTGTGCTGTGCTGAAGAAATGGTCCAGGGAGCATGACAACTCATCTTCTATTTTGCAATCAGAATCCACGATGGCTACTTTGGAACTGGGATGAGGAACAGGGGTCCACTAGGGACCAAGTGGCCTTTAGGGACTAACTTCTTTTGGTTGGCTGGTTGAATTTCAGGAATGAAGGAGGGACACATGAGGCAGACACATGGTAAAGGGAGGGATCAGAAATCTCCAATGTCCGACAGAGAGACAGACTCGTTAGGGGAAGATGGGATGTCAGAGGAAGACCAGAACCGCAGGCGCTTAGAGAGAGCTGGGTGGCCCGATGGGGACTTGTCTTTGTCCTTGCTTTTGCTTCTCAAAAAAGGGCTCTTTTTGCGCTGAGCTGCTAAATTGTTATTATTGTGATAGGAAGAAAAAGGGGAAGAAAAAAAAAACCAAATGAAATGAACAATAATCACAAATGAGTCTAAGTTAGCAAAGTGGACTTAGGAAAGCAGAATCCTGTCCAACCAACGCCCAGTACAGAGGTCAGAGCCATTTATGCTCTGACTCAATTTAATTTAGTGGCACCCTGGTGCTAACCATCATTCACAAAGCACATCAGAAATGTACGCTGCCCCAGGAGACACTGGTTTGGATGATTTTTCCATTTTAGTGTGTTAAATTTATTGAGTAAGAATGCTTATTAACACAGTGGCCAGGCTCTCTTACTCATTCACTTTAATGACAGGCTCCCTGACGACTCAGCTCACACACAGCTCCTGTTCCCACTCCAGGCACTGGACATACCTAAGGATATGCTGGCCCACTGTCAGGGTACAGTCTACCTGAAGTACCCACAGTCTATAATTCAAAAATCACCTCTTTTGGCAAGATGAGTTCAAAAGCACTAAAATGTCTTTTTCACATCCCAACCCTCTAAGACCTGGAAGAATTATGATCTTTCAGATACCCCCACATCCTCCACTCCTTGGCCTTTAAAGTAGAGACACCACAAAGCAGGCAACTGATCTAAGCTCCTGAACATACCTTTCAGTGGTATGAACTGAACCAACAGATACCTGCTTTAGTAGAGACCAGAGTCTCTATTTCTTTTGCTATAGCACCACCTAGAGGTCAAATCCCACACTATAGATTAAGAGTCCTAGGTTAGTGGCCATGGTTGAGGGAAGCATTAAACAGAACATAGCCAGACTGTTCGGATGTGCAGGGACCCAAGCTACTTTCACTTGAGGCTCACCTCCTCAGCATTAAAACAAACAGTACCTGGGTTACCTTCACAAGACCATCTTCTAAAAACTAACTAGATAACATAAAAAACAGACAGTAATGATTGATGTCCGCCTCATAGGCTGTGAGGGATTAGATGAGACTAAGGCTGTGCAAAATAGTTCAAAGGTTACTCAGCTCCCAGTCTGGAGTAGGTAGACATTTCTTCTCTGAATGTTTTCTTTCTTGCTCCCCAGCCCTTCTCAGACAGGGTTTCTCTGTGTGGCCCTGGCTGTCCTGGAACTCACTCTGTAAACCAGGCTGGCCTCAAACTCAAGAGATCTGCTTGCCTCGCCTCCCCAGTGCTGGGACTAAAAGAGTGTGCTATCATGACAGGGCTTCTGAAAATTTTCTTTATAAAACTGAGCATAGCTAATTCATTCAACACAAAGAAACACAGACTGAAATGGGAACTGTTTAGGAAAACAAAAACAAAACAAAACTGCCAGTATGGAAACCGGAAGTAACAGGTCCTCTCTGGTTGTAAGAAATTGGCTAAATTAGCTGTGGCTCTCACCTGTACTCCCAGGACTCAAGAAGCTGAGGCAGGAGGATTGTCATGAGTTCGCAGCCTGTCTGGGTTATATAATGAGTTCAGACAAGACCCTGTCTCAAAGGTTAAGTGCTCCCACTGTGACTTCAGCGCTGGCACACCTTCCACCAATTCCCACCCCCATTAAGAACGGAGCAGGTGCGTGCACCCCCCCACAGTCCAGACAGCACAAGTACTTGCGGTGGTGAGTGTGGCACAACCCACACCCAGAGGGCACTTGTTACTTGTTCTCAGTGTTCCGTCAGCCCAAGAGCACTGGGCTCCCCGACATGCTCAGAAAGTTCGGGTGTCTTTGATAGAAATTTAAGTTACTCGGGGTGAAGGTGTGGAATAAAAAACCCACCCCTCATTCTCCCCCCAAAACAGTAAAAAGTAAACTTGAACTTTTCACAGTGTTTAAGGTAACTTGAATTTCAGATTCTAGGATGGTCATTTTGATAACCAGTAACAGATCTGAAATTTGAACCCAGCTTCAAAAGTGTTCAGAGTAAGTTCCAGGACAGCCAGAGCTACACAGGAAAAGCTCATCCTAAAAAAAACCGAAATTAAAAATAAAGTATTTGTTTTTAGTTCCAGTGTGTGACTGTGCCTGCATGTATCTAAGTACACCATGTACATGAGTGCCTGTGGAGGTAGGCCCGAGGCACTGGATCCCTGGAGCTGAAGTTAGAGATGGCTGTGAGCTGCCATGTGGGGCTGGGCTCGTACCTCTGCGAGAGCAGCTCTCTACTGCCAAGCCATCGCTCCATCTCCCAACAGCGTACCTTTTAGATGAGATTCTTGCTGCAGAGGAATATGGCAAAACACCCTGGAGGTGCTGTAAAGACTGGAGATGCCATTCACCTCTCACCAGTGAGAAGAACCAGTGGTGCTTCCCAATTAGTAGAGTCTCACCAGTGGCAGCGTCATGTGCCATTCATCTGGCCTGAGACAATGATGAGCCACAGCACAGAAGACTCTGTTCCTGCTCTTACTTCAGAGACCCTGGCCAATTCCAAATGCAACCCTCAGGGAAGAGACACCCAGTGTCCCAAGGCTACAGGACTCAAATACAAATCTCGTGTGGAGAATAAACCAAGGAGCCTCACAAATGATAAGGGGACAGCCACCCAGAACTTTCTGAAACTGGGCATGTGGGAAATGTGGTAAACACACGCCGGATCACTGTATAAAAAAGAGCCAGCCGTAACCTTTGACACATCCGAGGGACCCCCAAACACATGAGCTGCTGCTGCCTCCCCAGGGTGCCTGACCTAGGATCAACTTTGGATGTTCAAATAACCAACTAGCCCATGTAATGGATGGTGCTTCCCATCCTAAAGTTAAGCAGGTCTCTGGGCAACACGGCCATAGCAGAGCCGGGCTTGGAGAGGCGCCCAGGTGGGGCCACACTCACATGGCACGAATACCATCACATTCGCACAGAGGCATGGCATACCGCATCAGTGAGTAGGCCGCTCAGAGCCTCTATCCTACCCCTGCCACATCTGGCAGCTGCACCTACCTTTCCCCAGGGGCCCGTTGTGGGTGTCGCGTTCTTCTGCACAGCTGGAGCCGGGTGGCGGGTTGTCAGAGTTCTCCGTCTGTGCTCGGAGACCCTGAGATGCAGGTGGCGAGGCAGGGTCTGAGGGCTCCAGCTGGCAGGCGGGGCTATCTGTAGTGGATTTCAACCGTTCTCTGGAACCTTCTTTCTTTGGCTTGATAAGTCTGACTAGGGCTTTGGCTCCGATCCAGTGGTTCTTCCTAATTAGGAGAGTGTTAGGAAGTCACAATGCGGGCTCACAGAGGCAAACAGTGGCACTGGGTGGTGTGGCTCAGAGGCAGGGCTCTTGCCTAGCATTCACAAGGCCCCACGTTCCATCCCGGGACCCTCGAGAAAAGAGGATGGTGCTCATGAGCACTGTCATGCCCATCCCCGTACACCTGAGGCCTGGGACTGAGGAGCCTAATTCTTGGGTGCAGGCTGTGCAGTAGCAGAAGGTTATGTGGGGTCAGGAACCCATGCTGTTCTTCCGGAAAAAGAGCACTTAACCAGCACACTTAATTATCACTGATGTGCAGGGGCTGTACTGACTAATGTTCATGTTTTTGCCCCCGTGAAAGTCATTTTTACAGGCATTACCTGTTCAAGTTAACCGATGACATGGCTAGTGCCCACTGACTGTGTTCCTGGCATTAGCAAGCCCCGGCACATGGTGCGTGGGTTAAAGGGAACTGAAGAAGTGCGGCTAGTTAGAAACCGAAGGCATTCTGAGGTATCTGGAGGGGTGGCCGCTGCACCAGCCCTTCACCTGTCACTCCCACTCCTCATCACAGCACCAACAAGTTCCCGTTGGTGACTTCAACTCCACGGCCTGGCCATAAGGACGGCTCTCCAGGCTCAGATCAGATACCAGGGGAAGTACTACAGGAAATGGCGGCCTACTACAGGTACCGAGCTAGCCCCACAACCCTGGATCACTGCTTGTAAGAAGCCATCCCAGAGGGTCTGTGTCTACAGAGAGAATAAGGCCAACGTGCACCCCTCAACTGAAAACTGGGGGACCCAGGCAGATCTTCTGCCCATGATCCCTTCCCTTTACAGGACCATCGATGTGCTGTCCACGTCATGTTAGAGCTCTGATGAGGCAACCGCGCCACTCATGGCTCTGCCTCACAGCTTCCTGCCTCTTCTCGGGGCTCACGGGTGAGTCGACCCTGTGTCTCATCAGGGCTGGCTGGCATTCGACACCCCTCACAGGACAAGCTGGGGTACACAGGGTGGGGCTGTAACTTCTTTGCCTTATGGGCAGCTGTTCTCAAGTAACCCCTTTGGGATCAGATATCAGAAAGCCCACATCTCAGAGATAAACGTTACAATTCATTAACAGTAGCAAAATCAGTTATGAAGTAGCATCGAAATAAATTTATGGTTGGGGGCCATCACCACATGAGGAGCTGTGTTAAATGCCGTGGGGGTATCTGTAAGCACAGGCACAGGGCTGGTCCTGTCTGACACCGCCCAGGCTGTCCCGTCTCTCAGCTAAGCTGACTATGATCACTACACCTCACCAATCTTAGATCCACTCACTTCTTTGGAGCAGGGTCATAGAACTTGTACTGATCCATTATCTTTTCTTCCAGTTTTTCCTTGTGTCTCCTTAAAACATTTAACTTGTCTCTGTGAACAGAAGGTAAAGGACAGCAATTGTTTAAACAAACAAGCGAGTGTACTGACCAGCCCTACTTAGGTTAGAAATCAGTTCTAGACTCAGACCTGAGGGTGCGTGTCCCCATACTGGTCGCTGACCTGGGCAGTTATGACCAACAGTACCAGTTATGAATCCAGCTAATCCCAGCACCCCACGAGGCACAGGCACGTGACTCTCTTTGAATTCAAAGTCAGCTGGTCTATATTATAAGTTCAGGTCTAGCCAAAGCTAAAAAGTGAGATCTTATCTTAAAAATTCAAAACAAAGCAAACAAAACCAAACAAAAACCCACCCATGAATGCTCTCAAAGTGCCTGGGATATGGCTAAGTGGGCTCAGGAGAGCAACGTGAGAACTTGTGCTTGGAAATGCTATGATTTCCCAAGTAGGCCAAACTGTAGGGCACCAGGCACCGCTGGCCTGATGCAAACAATTTATAGTGTAACAATGGCACCAGGCATATTAACACGTGGGCACTGAGGTGGCAAGTGCCAGAGCACCAAAGGCACCCTGGGGCCTGGGAACAGCCTGTGAGGCAAACTGCTTTCAGGGGACGTGTAGAGAAGGCAGCAGGCTAAACGCCAAAGAATGGGGCCTGTGACAAGTCTGAGCACGCCCTGGGCAGCCAGTCCCGGCAGGGCAGCTGGGTATGGTGACTGTTTGAAAAGCCAGAAGCTCAGGGGCTGAAGCAAATCTGTTTCTAAATGGTGGAAACCAGCTCACGCCCGTAATACCACAGCAAGCCACTGGCCGCCCCAAACTGCTCCCTGGGGTGTCTGTTACCCTTGTTGGGACTCTTGGGGAGCTGGTTCAGACCCTACAACTTCCTCATGGGAAAGTCAGGACATAGGCAGTAACTGCTCAGCTTCCTTCACTGCTGAAGCAGAGTCCAGGCCTGCACTCTGAGACAAGGTACCAATAGTTCAAATGCTGCTTGGAACAAGCTGAGAAATATGCCAAGCCACAGCCTGACATAGAAACTGTCTAATGCAAAAACCATCACCAATGATCTCCCTAGGAGAGAAAAACTGACTCTCAGCTTTCAATCTGAGCTCCTGCCCTGGGACACATGGTCATTGCCTATTTCTACAAAGAGGCGCTGGATGCCTATTGCTACAGATGAACTCAAGTCTAGAAGTAATGAGAGGCCTTCCAGCGCTTCGTGACAGAAGCAGCAAATACGGGTAGAGGAGATATAGCTCAGTTGGCAAAATAACTGCCATGGAGGCATGTGAGGACCTGAGTTCGATCCCCAGGAGCCACATAAAAAGCCAGGCACAGTGCAGTGCCTTTGTAATCCCAACAGGAAAGAGATAGGAGGATCTGGGAGCTCGCTGGCCAGACCACCCAGCCTAACCAGGAAGTTACATGCTGATGGGGGACCTTGTCTCAAATGACACTCAAGGTTGACCTCTGACCTCCACATGCACATAGATATGCACATATACCCTCTCCCCACACATGTGCACCCACACACGAGAGCAGGAAACCTCACACAGGCGCAAGGCGACCTCCACCTCTTCCAGAAATCTAGAACATTCCATAAAATGGTATAGTTCCATCTCCAACCCTCCAAGCCCTAATGTCTAGGGGCTATTCTCTGTCCTGAGAGTGACAGGCATATCCGGGGAGAAGACAGGACATCCGGAGGCCGAGGGAGGACTGCATACTGTGGGGGCTGGGGACAGCGGTCCAGGGGCCCTTTACGGACACACCAGAGCCTGCTTACATGTACTGCTTCTGTTCCTCGTGGTACTGCTCCTGGTTCTCCATGTTCTGTTCCAGGAGTATCTGGTTCTGCCGGTTCAGCAGCTGGATCTGGCTCAGCAGGTGATGATTCTCCTCCTCTAGGTTCCCCTTGAGACGGGAGAGCAGCTGAAACACAGACCAGCAGTGGCTCAGACAACCTGTGGAGAGGAACCCTGTACTGTCCGCACTGGACCTGAGAAGGAGCCACAGGGATGCACTGCATCCTAGACGCACACACCCGACCCTGCAGCCAACTGGCAGCTCCTGGCTGTCGAGAGCCCAGGTCAGGCGTAAGGACTGAGGGGTGAAACAAGACACACGGCAGAGGCTGAAAACGCGGTATGAAAAGGGGGAGACGTAAGATTACATTTGAAGTGATATTTTTGATCGACTGGTTAAGTAAAATATGTTATTACAATTAATTTTACCGGGGCCAAGGATGTGGCTCAGTGGTACAGCACTGCCATCCCCAGCACTGAAAAAGAAAAAATAATCTCATTGAAAGAAAGAACTGTTTAGAAGGTAGCTGCTACAAAGTGCTAAACTGTCCACGTAGCTTTCGTGTATTCAACGAAAAGCTCTGCTGTGAAAGACAGCTTTTCTGCCCAAACCCAGAGACTTATAAACACCTTGGGCCTTCCAAGCCATCTAGTGTTTTGTGACCTTGTAGCTCTGAAGCAGCCGTGGATAACCTAAGAGCCGCTGTTCCCCAACGAAACTTCACTCGCACACAGTGGCACAAATTCCACACAATTTTCACTAGACACCAAGTATCATTCTTCTGACTTTTAGCTCCAATCATTAAAAATGACAAAAGCCACAGCTGGGATACAGAGTTAATAAAATGTAACTGATAAGAAAAAAATAAAATTCAAAAAAAAAGAAGAAGAAAAAAAAATGACAAAAGCCGTTCTTTAGTTCGTGGGCTGTGTGGATACAGGGGGCAGGGAAGGTTCGGCCTGTGGGCTGAAGTTCAGAGACCTTTGTTTTAGGACAGTACTGTCATGTAGCAGGAAGGCCCAGGCTTTGAAGGTCCTATTCATTGTGTACCTCACTGAGGATGGAATGAGCTAACAGGAAAGCCACAGGAAAAAAAATATGCTCCTCCCTCCCTCCTCTTCACCCCACTTGACATTACAACATTAACTTCACCACTAATCAAAAGATCAAAATCTACCTTTCTTTTCAATTATATGATGAGCAGAACTGGAATCCTTTGTAGGAACATTTCTGAGGTTCAAGGAAATGGCTCAGTGGATAAAAGCACTAGCCATACACACACACAATCACGCATACACACACCTGTATACAGACACGGACACAGACATATAAACACACACAGAGTCCTAGTGTACCTCCTGCAGTGACAGTCCCCAGTGGACATGGGTTCCCTGGACAGTGCCACCCTCCCCAATAGGGCGCTGAGCCAGGTCCTTTCATCCTCCACGGACAGCTCAAATCTGGCTGGGTGACTAGAGAGTATCTCAGCACCTGGGGCTGAGGTGCGCCTACCTGTCTCTCAGGGGTCCTCAGAGATCAGGAGGGGCCCACTTGCTCTCCTCAAACTCTCTGCACAGTGGGGTCCTTCTGAGACTATCTAAAGGAGGGCTTTGCTTCCCATAATGGCCATTTCTGACCCAGGTCTGGGCCACCAACCGCTGGATCGCCCAATGGCAGGAGCCAAGCTAGGTAGCCACACTCAAATCCAGGCAATTTGTTCATGTAGCTATCTCCTTACATGAAGAGGGGCCAAAGATGGTGCCGCCATGGCCTGAAGGACGGATGGATGCCACCCAGGAGGAGCTCCGGCCCATCACAAACCTGCCCAGAGCCGCGCCTCACCTCACAGTGGTTGTCCAGCTTGGTCAGAGAGATATCCAGGCTCTGGTGCTGCTCCTTAAGCTCGTCGAAGCGTGCCTGCCAGCGGTTCAGCTCCAGCTGGGAGTTGTTCAGTGAGGTTTTCAGCTCCTTGGTGTGGGCGTGCAGCTCTTCGTACTCCCCTTTCAGCTGGTGGTGCAGGAAGCTGACCCTAGGGGAGGAGAGCCAACAGGGCAAAGGGGCTGGAAAGCATCCCAAAGACAGAAAGGCCTGCAGCTGGGTGTGTGTGTGGGGGGGGGGGGGTTGTACCCGTTCTGACAGTGGCAGATGGTGCAAGCTCACACAAAGTCCTGTGTGCCATGTAGGAATACTAAGCCAACAGGGCGGGGAGGCAGAGGCAGGCGGGTACGATGTGAGTTCAAGGCCAGCCTGGTCTACAGAGAGAGCCAAGGCTACAGGTGCAGTGGTACATGCTGGCAGCAACCAACAGTTCTCTAGTTGAACTTAAGATCCACACAACAAGAGAGAGACTACGCCTGGCATTGTGAACCTAGCTTACTAATCAGAGCTAGTGAAATCATATTTAATTATATTTTTGTGAGAAAATATATGAAATGCTAGTCATTGGGAAAATAGAGTAAAACAAAAAACACTGTGCCTGACTTTGTGGGGTCGTTAACCTCTGATATCATAAAATGGGATGCGGAGGTAAGGTATTATGTACACCTGCTACAATTATTGCCACCCTAACTCTCGTAAGTCAGCTAGCTTTTCAGTAACTCGAGTCCCAGGCTGGAGAGGTGGCTCGGAAGTCAAGAGCACACACTGATCTTGCCGAGGACCCGGGGCCCAACACCCCGGTAGGGCACTCACACCAAGTATAAACTCCAGCTGGAGGAGGACCTGGCACCTCTGGCCTCCACAAGTACCTGCACTCTTGTGTACATACCCACACACGGATTCACACAATTAAAATATAGAAATCAATCTTAAAGAGAGTTTGAGGAGAGCAAGTGGGTCCCTCCTGATCTCTGAGGACCCGAGAGACAGGTAGGCGCACGCACCTCAGCCCCAGGTGCTGAGATACTCTCTAGTCACCCAGTCAGATTTGAGCAGGTTCACTGTCAGTATCTAGGAATGCAGACGTTGCCCAGCTGCGTCCAGGCGCCTGGCTTCCCGGAGAGAACAGAAACAGGGATGACCTGGTCGCAAGGGGGCTGCTCCAGTCCACTCCAGGGCCTTCTGACTGTTCAAGGCCTCCGTATCAGTATGTGCCCACTGGGGCGGTGCCTCCCCCCTGCTTGCTGGGCCTGCTGCTCACCCAGGGGCTCCTAAACCTCTCAAGGATGCGGAAGGAAGCAGTGTTTTCCCCCATCGGACTTTGAAACAAGAGAAGGTCTGGACTCAGCCCTTGCTCTTGTTAACCAAAGGTTTAGCCTCCAGTGGTACCTGATCTGAGTACCTGACTTCCTCATCTGTCAAAGGAATGGCAGCCAGTAGTCTACGTCTGTTAAACAGCTGCAAACGCAGAATCAGTGACCCCTCAACCTTGCTAGGAGGGAAAACACCCGGCTCCCCAAGGTTTACAACAGGTGGAGCTGCAGTTTCCGGTGACGCCTGCTCAGAGGCGTCCTAGGTAACACACGGCCTCCAGCACTGCGCCTCCGCACAGGCGAATCTCTGCACATGCTGCCCCAGCACTCAGGGACACAGACCGAACTTGAGCTCTATGCCTGAGGCTATTTTATCCAGCAAGGTAAAGACTTCAAACGCCAAACACCAAGTAGGTCCTGGAAGGACTTCTGCTTGCAGTGGGAGGGCTGAAACAGGACAGGACGGCTGGGTGAGCCCAATGACTCAAATGTTTTTTTGTGAACTCTGCGCACATCCACAAAAGATCCGTGAAAGAGTGGGGCTCTGGTTGCAAACAAGCGCCAGTGAACAGGTGAAGCTGCTGGATCCGGAGTACCACAGTGGCTCCGAGGGCTGGGCTTACATCTGAAGGTGACCGTGCTTATCTAGACACATGATCTACCCTTCCCCATACTGGCTGAGTACAGCCGTCTCGCCCCTGCTGCCCGAGGCTCCTTATCTAGCCAACGTCGTGAAAGCACAGGACAAGACTTCACAGGCCTCCTCCCTCCTCCCAGCAGTTTCCAGAGAGGACAGGTCTGACCCATCTCTGGGTGTCACTGCCACTACTCCCGGGGCTGGGTGGGGGTGCTGGGGTGCCCACCTGTCCAGCTCTCCTCGCAGCCTCTGGTTCTCGCTTGTGGCGATGGCGCTGGTCCTCTGCTCCCGCTGCAGCGCCTCCCGCTCAGTGCTCAGCTCTTTCTCTAGCTCCTCCAGCTCTGCTTTGCGCTTCTGCAAGTCGCCGTGCCTGGAGGAGGAAGCGTGGCCAGGCTTTACCCCAAGGCTAACCCTAACCCCACAGGCAGCTCACACCCCAGGAGGCTGGTACACACCCTCTCAGAGAAGGAGGATTCCTCTGAAACCTGTTCTTGGAGGAGAGATGAGGCTGGACAGCAGGGAAGCAAGATGAATGCTGCCAGAGTGGGGTCAGCCAGTGCCAACCCCCCACCCCGGGCCCAGAGCCATCTTCCGTGCTCTGGTGCCTTCACTGCCACTGTCAGCGCCTTTTGTAGGTTGCCCGAGAGAGTGAGGGCTGCACTCTACACCCTTTTACTTTAGAGACTCATGTTACAACGAGGTTCACTAAGAACCAGTAGATCTAAAAGGAACCACAGAATAAACAGCTAAATTCCACTGACTGAGACAGCTAATCCCTCCTTACACCCTCCTCAGTCCCTGTGAGAGTCCACATTTGTGTTCCCACCTGGCACTGCAGTGGGTGTGTGAGACGCTCCCCCCCAACTACCACACACACACACACACACACACACACACACACACACACACACACACATTTTCTTTCTCCCTCAGTCCTTGTAGACTGCACAGCTGTCGCTGGGGGGCAGCAGAGCACAAGACGTGACGAGCCTTCTGTTTTCATCCCACCCTGTTGAGGACCTAGGATCTCCAAGTCAGTGAGAGGAGGCACACTTCTCAATCCTCAAGCCTCGGGCTCAGGAAACTGCTCCCTCACCCTTTTCTCTTCTGAGTACATAACACTCGGTTTGTGTCCTGATCTTGGGGGGGGGGTGTCTCACCTCTTCTCTAACTACCACCCTCCATATCAGCTGACCCTGGGCCATGTTGCTGGAGCCCCATGTGAGGGATTAGAAAACTCACTTAATCGCCAAAGCAAGAGGTAGCCCCACCATGCTGAGGCGCAGATACGATGAGGGAACTGCCTGGCTTCCAGAGCCAAGTCAGTAACTGTGGAAGAATCATCCAAGTTTGACAAATAAGGGCCACAGGCTGACCAGCAGGGCTTTCCAATTCCTGCTCCGCTTGTGGCACTTCAGCAAAGCACACAACCCACAAGCCTTTGCAGTCCTGCTTACCACTGAGCAGCAAATATCCAGCAAGAGTCCAGTTATGTACCAGATGAAAAGAATGCACACCTTTGCCCCTTTAGCGTGACAGGCACCCAGAGCCCCGATGCAGACAGAAGGTACCTCCAGCTGTGTATCAACAAGCCAAAGATGCTAGGCAGCTGACACACAGGACCCTGGGCCCTGGACACACCTGCTCAGAGATCGGAAACCCTCAGTGCACGAGCAGGAGCTCTGCCAACAGTGGGTGACTTACTGACACACACCCCAGAACCTGGGACTGCCAAAGGTGAAAAGTATACATGTGTTTTTAAACATATGTGAAATTTACTTAAAAAAAAAAAAAAAAAAAAAGGCATCCAGTGCAAATAGAAGGAAAAAGGCCGTGTGGGTAACTGTGGGGGGCAGCTGGGGACTCACAGTACTCTTACCCCCTCCCTCCCAGATCACAGGTGTAGGATTACTTTCTGCTTTGTTGTATGCATTCAATATTTAACATAATGGGAGGATTTTAGTTTGTTTTTTAAGCAAGCGTTCTGGAAGAGGCAGTCTCAAGTATGAATGTATGTGTAAAACCCTACACATTGGCAGCCAGGAGAATCTTCCCAAGGGTATAGATCACGAGGGAAGAAAAAGGAGGAGGAAGAAAGAATTCTCAGAGAACGGATCTCCAAGTGTCTACACTGAGCCTCTCAGAGCTGGGGTGAGCCACGGCACTCCTTCACCCCTTGCGTCCCCTGCTACAATGCCCTGCTGGACAAACAAAAAGGAAATAGAAATTGTTAAAGGCTCTATTTCCTTCCCTTTGGGAAAGCTCAGGTGCACCAACAATGAAAAGCAGCCGGCCAAGAGGAAATGCTGGGGAGATACAGAGGGGGTGATTGGGAAAGTACCTTGAGCTCGGGGACCGCCTAAAGGGCTCAGCATAGTAGCTGTTTCCTCCACAAGCTATATCCCCAACCCCAGGCCTCTCTCACAGTCTCACATCTGTACTCCCAGGCTCCCTGTCCCCAGGTCTCCGCCTCCCTGTCCTCCAGGCTCTACCCCTTCCCTCCAGGCCCCACCTGTGCCCTCTAGGCCCCACCTTTCCCCAAGCTCCCTGTGCTCCTGCTCCAGGTTCCGGTGCAGCGTCTTCAGGCAGCTGTGCTGGCGGATAAGGGCCTCGTACTCTGAGGACTGGTGATCGTACAGGGCACCCAGATGTTCATGGTCCTGGAGCAAGGCTTCATAGGCAGCTGCCAGCTGCTCCCGCTGCTGCTGCAGACCCTCGTGTTCCGCCTCCTTGGCCGTCTGCTGGCTCTGTAGCACTGTGTACTGCGCTCCGAGTGCTGCATTCTGGGAGCTCAGTGTGGAATTCTCCACCTGCAGGGAGAGCAGAGCTCTGTGGTGAGCAGGCCAAGGTACCACCAGCAACAGTTGGACCTTAAGGCAGGCTGGGCATGGGTGATGCTACCAGAACTCGAGGACTTGGCTTTGGAAGTGGGGCAACATGGCAAAACAGGCCATGAAAAGGTTGTCATCCTGAGCCAACTCCAGAAATCATGTCTTCCTTCTACACAAGCCCCTTATATGTCATTACTGATTATTTTTAAACCTGTAAGGATGGAGTAGCAGTCAACCGATTGATTTTTACAGGCTTACTTTTGTACTGTAGGGCCAGAAATGAGGACTTGACATGCTAAGCACTTTTGCTAGTGGGCTGCATTTGAACCCTGGGTTTTTAGTTTATTCTAATATAATCCCAAAACATTACAAACTGAACAGGGGCCAGAATGGCTCTGATATTAAAACCAAACAAAGGTTTTTTTTCCAAGATAAAACAAAGTAGCAAACCAACATCCTATTTTTCTCACTTTAACAAAACAAACCCGACCTCTTTGCCAAATAAGTTTCCTGTTTATTGTCTGTGTCCCATAAGTAACTTTCCACCCTTTCCCAGAAATTACATTAAGCAATTTTTCATTTTCCCATCATCTACTCACCACAAATAAAACTACGTGGTAAGTGGGCTGTGATGTTGGCCCTGCTGGCCACTTCCAACAGACGGAAGTCAAGCCATGGCCCCATTCCCCCTCCACCATCTTAATACAGCTCTGCCAGGATGGACTGCACACAGCCGGTTTAACCAAGCTTACTTAATTTGCAAATTTCTCTCTCTTTTGGTGTGTATGTGTGTACACGAATGCTCTTGCTCACACGCACATGTTCGCTGAGCAAACTGAAAAGCAGAGAAATGAGGCTTTAGCCAGGCACCTCTAGGCCCAGCGACAGGAAAAGTCTCCTGAACCTACCTACTACCTTCAGACTCCTCTTAGCAATCACCTGGTCCCCAGGCCCCCCATGCTTGGTCTTGTAGCTCCCACTACCTGCAGCTTTGCAGTCTGGGTCTGCAGCGCGGTGGTGTGCTCCTGCAGGAAGGCACTCTGCTTCTGTAGGGTCAAGATCTGGCTGCTGAAGGCCACATTCTGTGTCTCCAGGTGCTGAAGCTGCTCCTTCAGTAGCTGCTTCTCAGCCTGCAGAGCTGCGTTCTAGAGGAGACGCACGGGCCAGTTACACGGTGTGGCAAGCTCTTTCTGGGCAAAGGCTCAGGGGTTTGACTGACCCCCCAAGGGTATATGCAGCCCAGAGTTGGGGTTCCTCAGGTACAGGAAGTTAATGGTTTCCCTCTTAGAAACAGACAACTAATAGAATTTCAAGAAAAGACATTGCAGGGACTACAGCCTGGGACATGGGGCATGCTGACATGCAAGCCACCTTCATGATTCCTTTTGCTTCCTTTGGTGTGGAATACTCCCCAAAAGTACTTCTCCGAGCTGAAGCCACTCCCCCATTGACCACAGTGCTCTGTGGTCCTCATCAGTAGCTGTCCCTACCTTGAGACACAAGCAGAACTGAGGAGAAGGAGACCAACACAGCATATCTACCACGCCACCACCAGGCTAGGAGCCAGGACAGGGGCTGCAGACTTATTAGCCTGTGAATTTGAGAGGGCCCCTAATGTTCTGTCTCAGCTTGTTTGTCCACTGAAAATCATCACTTCATAAAGTCAAAGAGAACAAGAGGGACAAGCATGCATCAGAGATCTTTCCCTGGTAAGGGTCAAGGGTAAATGCTTTCGGGTTTGGTGGCCACATCGTCTCTGCCCCAACAATGAAGGCTGACAATGCACTGGGAAAGCAGCCCAGACCACATGTAAATACAAAAGGTGTGGCTGCGTGTCAATAAAGCTTTATTTGGACACAGCTTGTGCTGAGGAACTGGGATGTAGCTCTGAAAAACACAACACTATGGGATGAAAGATGGTAGACAGGTTCCAGGCAGGGGAACCAGCCCAGGAATTTGGGTGTGTCTCTTGCATTAGACACTTGGAAGGGATTACGATGAAAGGCACCTAAAGGACCAGTCAGGACAACTCAACAAGTGTCCTTCCAGACGGGTGACCTCTGCCATCCCACATTCTTCACAGTGACACTATGCTCTGGGGGCAACTGCCAATAGGACGGTCGCTTCACGGGTGGCCCACTCACACTGCGTTCCAGCTCAATGGCCCGGTCCTTCACACGGAGAAGCTCCATGGTGGCCTCCTTGTGGCTAGGCCCCCAGCCCTCCTTCTCTTGGTGACTGGTGACCACCTTGCCTGCCGGGTGCTTCAGCAGGCTCTGCGCCTTCGTTCCATCCTCCTGGGTCTGCCTGAGCTGCTCTTGCTCTTCCTTTACCTGAAAAGCAGACTCAGGCAGTTAGGAACCAGGCAGGACCCCGAGGAGTGGGCAGGGAGGGACCCCTCGCCAAAGCCTCAGACACCCACCCACTTGTCTCCTGAGGAAGGACAGGCCACGTGCTATCCTTTTGCTACGTGTTTCCCCAGAAAGGACAGGAGAGGCGAGGATGTGAACTCAGGCCTGCCCCGGTCCCCACCTTAGCTACATGACTGGCAGGTGCTGTTGGTTGCCCGAGCCTCCAGTCTATACCATACAACAGAGGCAAGACCAGGCCCAGCAGCCACACATCTCCCAGAGGCCTTGCCAGCTCTGCACCTGCCTGACTTCAGCTCCCAAATAAACTGTAACCACGGAACGTGCTCCATGTTTACAAAGGGAGGCCACACATGTGGGGTCAGTCCACCCACGGATGGAGACTGCGTGCACACAAATTCTGTGCGCGTGCATGTATGTGGAGAACCTTATTGACATGTATGAAAAGTGTGAATCAGGAAGGCATGTCTATATGCACGTAGAGTGTGCGCACATGTGCTCCATATGTATGGGAACATGTACTCGTATGTTGTGCTCCAGAGATGACACACATAGTCATGTAAGGTCCTGTTCTATCTAAGGGGCCTTAGGAGCCTGCAGGTCTCTACTTGGTGCTCTGGGCTGTTTCATGTTCCCAACGTTACCCGGAGGGGTGGAACTGCCCTGAGCCCCAGCTTCCTCCCCATCATGCGTCTGGCTCTGGTGTGCTCAGCTCCTACCCTGAGGTTGACACCTTCAGGACCCTGCAGCTCCCCATCACCTGTCCCGGAACACTGCCCCTGCTTGCCCTGGAAAGGATATGACCTCAGCCTGGCTCTCACCATCCGCAGCTCAGCCTGTAGTTGGTGATTCAAGCTCTCTTTCTCTTCCACCTGTGCCTCCAAAAACACAATCTTTTCCTCTTTCATGGCCAGTGCTGTTTTCAATGCCGATTCATTTTTGCCTTCCAAAATCTTGCACTTTCTGAAAACATAAAGACATAATAGTACAGTTTTCATTCCCCTTCACCTCTAATCCCATCTCCCTGTGGCCAACACACACTCTTCCCACTAGGCTGAGTTTATGTACCATTTACAGAAGGTGTTCCTGGGACTCTGGGGGCCAAAACCACTGCCCAGAACCCTTGGGTGGGGAGAGGGAGCATGTTTCCTCAGGTGACACATCCACAACTTCATTACATAAAACATCATGACTACACTTTACAGGAACTCCGTAAAGAGATGTTCTATGACAGACACGCTATAGATGGAGAGATTCCATCTCAGGAAACCCCGGCCATTGGTCCAGGGTCACGATGCGAGCCGTGGGGCAGGCCCTCAGCCTTTCTACTATGCCAAATATTAAAGCAGGCATGTGAGTCTTCTTGGTTACACATTCAGAAAGGGTTACCACACTTCATTTCCTTTAAAAGCCAGGCTGTTCGAAGAAAGCATAGCTAGGGAAAACTGCAAGCATAGAATTAAGAAGAGAAGCAGGCTCTTCTTGGGGGCTGTGGTACAGTGTAGAGCCTATCAAGCACGCAGGAGACCAATACCAGTGTTTTTATCACACAAAACAATCTCCTTCCATACTTCCTGAGTCTCCTAAGGAGCAAGAAGACCTGAACCACCAAGGACAGACACGGGAGTCACAGTGACCCCGGCAGTGGAGAATAAACTCGGGCATCAGCGGAGACCCAGGAGTGCAGTGCTAACACAGGGCCCTGTCCTCACATGTCTCCGTGACTGTTGTCCTCCTGCAGCAGCAGCTCCTTGCTGAGGCCAACTTTCTCCAGCTCCTGGCTCAGTTTGTCCAGCTCGCTGCTCAGCTGCTGGCTCTTCAACTTCTCCTGCACCAGGTCCTGTGAGACAGGAGACACCACTGTGGACGGGAGTCTGAGGCCTCATGACGGTGTCACACCTTTGAGCCACTTCTTCCCCCAAACGTGGCTGTTTCAGATGTTTTAGGCAAGCAGATGACTAAGGGGTCGATTCCAGAATGCTCCGCCAAAACAAAGGGATGAACACCCTTTCCCAGCCCTCCTAGTGCTGGAAACAGACCTCATGGCAGCAAACAGGAGATGGACCCAGAATGTTCTCCTCCAAAAGGTCAGAAATACTCTGCTGTGCTGACTTGTAGTAGCAAGTATGATCTCTACTAATATGATCGAGTTTTTAAAATTATAAACTTAGCAAGTAGTTAAATGCTCAAAATTAACAACGGGGAGGGGGGGGGAAGAAGAGTTTGTTGTTGTTGTTACTGTTTTCTGAGATAGGGTCTCAGGTAACTAAAGGTGGCCTTAACCTTGCTATGTTCCTGAGGATGAACCTGAATTTCTGATCTCCAAGTAGTAGGACAACCTAGGGCTTCATGCATGTTAGGGGAGCATGCTCACAACCAAGCTGCTCTTCTCCACCTGAAAGAGTTTATTTTAAACTCTGGCTTTGGCTAACCTTCTGAATGTGAAAAATGAACTCAATGTTCATCTCCCCTTTTGCTTTCCTCCCCACATAACCCTCTGAGGGTAGCTGTTCTCTCCTGCCTGATGCCATAGCTACCCCTCCTAACCTTATCACAGGCAGAATGGTACCTCCACCATCAAGTTTCCCAGCTGGCAGCTGACGCCAGGGGTTATGGGTTAGAATCACATGGATCTGGATGAAGCAGAGAAGAGCTGGCATGTGTATTTTTGCCAGTCTTCTAACCTGTCACGGTTTCTGCCCAAGCCTAGTGCTAAGGCAGAGGGGCTCTAGGTCAAAGCTGTCTGGAGGTGGGCACGTAGCAGGCTGAGACAGAAGGATCAAGAGTTCAAGGCTTGCCTGGTCTATACAGGGGATCCAAGACTGGCCTGTGTATGATTCAAACAAAAATGAGAGCAGAACTGCACTTGGACTGGTTGGTTCCAGGACAGTCGACAGACTGCTGTAGCGCTGTCCACACTGTGGTGAGTGGGAAGTGCATCCGTGTAACAAGCCCTAGAGATCCCTGGGTAGTTGGTGACTGCATCGAAGCCCACCCTGCCTGCACTGTACAGACATGAATTGTGGGTGGCACGCAGGGCTTGAGTCTCTCTCTCTGTGTCCCTCCCTGCTCACCCACACCAACAATTGTCCTTTCTAAACATTGTCATGGCTCTGAGCTCACTTTGAAATCACTTCCCTGATCTCACTAGGGACAGAGCAGCCTGCAGCTGCCTCAGGCTGAGCTCTATGGAGTGCTGTCTCTCTCCCTCCATCTCTTCCTGGTCTACCTGTCACATGCTGAGGAGCCAGAAGGACTCTCCACTAGCGGATGGGTTAGTCATAACTAGAAGGAGCCGGATGCCTGCACCAGTGAGCTGGCGAGCTCTGGAACATGTGTCGAGAGGAAATCTGTGGGCTGGACCACTCAGACGCTAAGCCGGGCTACTAGGGTCACACTACAAACGAACGCCCAACAATCCATGAAAAGACACCAAGGGAAGTAGAACGGACACTCCAGGAAGCAGAGAATGCAAGAGGCTGAAATGGTCCTGTGCTTTGATCCCATCGCTCCACTTACCAGGAATGTGTCCTTAGAAAAGTGTCGGCTATGTTCGTGAAGGGGCAGGGCCGTCCAGGAGCACTGAAGCAGTAAGGGCTGGGGACGCAGCTCAGTGAGCATGCTCAAGAGCACATGCTCAATCCTCAACACAAAAGAGGAAGAAAAAGATCCCAAACCAAAAACAAAACAGTGGGGAAAACTGAGAACAACCTAAAGGGACCTATAATTTCCAAAGTAAATCTATAGGCTTAAATATCTTGCAGTCATTGAGAAAGCATGGCTTTGAAACCCTTCAGTGTGGGGCTGGTAAGATGACTCCACTTGCTGACAAGCCCAGCAACTTGAGCCTGATCCCCAGAACCCAAATAGTGGAAGGAGAGAAAACGAACTCTCTCAAGCTGCCTTCCAGTCTCCACATGCATGCTGTGGCACACACATACTAACTAACCAACTAACTAACTAGCTAACTAACTAACTAAATAAATAAATAAATGTAAGAGAAAAAAACCTGAAGCCTATTTTGTGTGGGAAACTACGAAAATGTCATTAAACAACAACAACAACAAACCAGAATAGCTCGACCATTCATAGTCTGGTATGGGGCAGCCCTCTGATGTATGGTTGTCTTATGACTCTTTTCACCTTAGGGTTAATTTTGGGGGATTGCAGTCTCCCCCCAGGCTAGCAATAGATACGGTTCAACACTGGCTCTAAATGCTGGGCAACAGCAGTGAGCTAGGGCTGAGCCAGTCACTGGCAGAGGAAGGGGAAACCCAGGCACTGAGGCTGTGTGATCAAGCTTCCTCTGAGCAGGCGATCAAGGGTGCCAAGCGCATCTTCTACCCATGGGGTTCAGTCAAAGTGAGCTGATGGGGACACAATCCACTGTGAGTGGAGGAGCACCAGCACAGCGGCACAGAGAGGGAGGAGATGACTACCAGGGGGTGGTCGGAGTGCAGCGAGAGCGCCCCATGGCTTCCCCCTGCCCGCCCAGGCTGATCAGACCTTCAGCTGGGACGTGCTCAGCTTCAGAAGAAACACCTCAGGAGGACACACCAAGTTCCCCCTCCATTCTAGAACCTCCCACCCTAGCAAACAGGCCCGTTTTGCCACTGCCCCCACACATGGCTCACCTCTCTCAGGGTGGTCAGTGTCCTCGTGTGCACGGTGACCTGCTTGGTGAGGTCCCTGTTGTCCACCTCCAGCTCCTTCAGTTTGCTTGCCGCATCCCGGCAGCGGGCCAGCTCCTTGTCCAGCGCGCGGCTCTCCTTCTCGGCGGCCGACAGCTTGGCAGCGCTGTCATCCAGGACAGCGTCCTTGAGCTCCACTTGCTGCCACAGGCGTCTGGCCTCCTTCTCCAACAGCTTCTTGTCCTTCTCCAGCTGGGCCACCTCCTGCTCCAGGGCCTTCCTGTCTTTCTCGGCCCCCTCGAGCTGCTTGTTGGTTAGCCGCAGAGCCTCCAGGTCCCGCTTCAGGGCCTGGCGCTCGGCCTCCAGCTCACCCAGCTCCCTCTCCAGGGCCTGAGACTTGTGGCTGCTGCTCTCCAGGCTGTGCTGCAGCCTCAGGTTCTCAGCACTCACACTCTGGTAGCTAAGCTCCAGGCGCTCCGACTTCTTGCTTAAGGCCTTCAGCAGCTCCACGCTCCTGCGCAGCTCTTCCTTCTCCTGCTCCAACTGCTGGTTCTCGGCCTCAATCTGCGCCATCTTGGCGCTGGTGAAGCGCATAGCTTCCACCATCTTGCGCAGCTCCAGGTTCTCCTGGTCTAGCTGCCTGTTGTCCCTCTCTAGGCCTTCGAGCTGCACAGACACGTTCTGCAGCGTGTCCAGAGACTTTCTCAGCGTCCGGTTCTCCAGCTCCAGACCCTGGCTCTCATGCTCCAGGGCCTCGAACTTCTCAGTGACTGTCTTCAGGGAGGTCACCTTCTTGGCCAGCTGCTCGTTCTCCTTCTCTAGCCGGTGCAGCTCCTTCTCCAGCGTCTCTGCCCGCTCCCCTTTCTCCTTGGCCTCCTCCAAGTCCCTGTGTAGCTGCTGCTTCTCCAGCTCCAGCTGGCTGAGCTTGCTGCCCGCCTCGGTCACAGCCTGGTGGAGGGCTCTGTTCTCCTTCTCCACATCCTTCCCACTGTTGACCTGCGGCCTCTCCCGCAGTGACCACACAGCCTGGTGGAGGTGGCCCTTCTCCTGCTCCAGATCCTTTATCTATGAGTAAACACATTAGGCAATGACCCAGACTGTTGCCGGAACCTGCACCAGTGATGTGGGCTCATAAGGGGCTTCCAAGAAGAAGTCTTCAACAGCTGCTCTATGGTACACCCAAGCCCAACCATGGCTAATCAAAACACTCACTACAGTGACCTTGACCTTAAACCTAAATGACACATCTGTTTCTTAAAAGTATTAGTGATTCCCTCGGTCCACTCTGTCAGGGCCCGCACACTGACCAAGCTGGTGCTATCTATATCTTGATCCCGTCCTGTGTCTTCTCAGCCTCATGGCCAGTGCCTCAAGCAACCTTGCAGCCATTATCTGCCTGCCCTTACCTTGTCTATTCAGACAAGATCCCTGTGCCTGCTGCCTGGTATTTGCCTTCCAAGGTAAGAGCCTCCATGTACAGGGCTCTACTTGTCTGTTCATCACACATAGTGTCAGTCTGACCTTCCTCTTCCCACTTCTTACTCATCTACAACAGAAGCTAAAAACCTAAAACACCTGGTAACCCAGCCTTGCCATTACCCTCCACTTCTTTCTGTCCAGAAGCAAGCAGAACCCTGCAGGTTTGCCAAGGTCTCAGCCTTATCACCAACAGGTTTTTAGAATCGGGTCATTGCCCTGTGCACTGCAGAATGTTTAGCAGACACTGTCCATTTCCTAGTTAGCTTTAACTGTCAACGTAACACAGCCTCGGGCCACCAGACGAGAGTCTCAGCTGAGGGACTGCCCATTTCAGACTGGCCTATGGGGGACTGCCTTGATTGTTTATTGATGTAAAAGGGCCCAGCCCACTGTGGGTGGCACCATTCCTTATGCAGACATAGTCCTGAGCTATATATAAGAAAGCTAACTAGGCATGAGCCCGGGAGAGCCAGAGAGCAAGCATCCTCCCTCCACAGTTCCTGCTGTACTTCCTCAGCTGTAAATTATTTTCCTGGTAATGCCGTGTGGGGTACCAAGCAGGCCTGCCTTCAAGTTCCTACTTCTCTGACTTCCCTCAATGATGGGCTGTAACCTGTGAGCTGAAATAAACTTCTTCCTCTACATTGCTTTCAGTTACGGTGTTTGTAACAGCAAGAGAATGAAAATAGAACAGTCGTGCCAGGAACTCTCTAGTCTTTCCCTTCCCAGAGTCAGAGCATTCAGAACTGTCTGAAGACATTGCCAAATGACATGGCCATACCCCTCAGCTCTCCTCTTGCCAGCACGAGTGAGTGAGGTGGTGATGGCAACAGCTATGCCTACCTGCCTGGCCTTGTCTGCCCTCAGGGCTTCCATGTCACTCTGCAGCTGTTCCTTCTCTCGGATAAGCTCCTCGCTGAGAGTCTCCAGGTCTTGGTTACTCTGCTTTTCTCTCTCCAGCTGTGTCTGTAACTTTTCAATCTGCAGATGTAAAGATCCAGCCTGTGTGACAGTCAGTCTAACCAAGCCAGTTGTGTGCAGACAGATAGGCAGGCAGGCAGAGCAGCTAGCCAGCCGGCCCTTCTCTGCCCAGGTTATGCGTATAGGCCCTTGAGGAAAAACAATACTAGTAGTGTTGCTCTGCAGCACAATCCTCACACCTTCCCGCCGTTGGCCTGACACGCCTGCACCTTCTGCCTGGGATGAGAGAAGTCACTGGGTAGCAGCCTGACCATGTCTGTCCCAGGCTGCTCGGGCTGCCATGAGTCCAACCTACTCCATGTTTTGCTTTTTATTTTTTTTCCCCTTGACCTCATCCATTTTTACTTGGTGTCAGACCATATACCCGAAACACCCAACTCCAGATTCCCTACAAGGACCATACAGCTATCCTCCCCATGCTTATGCATGGTGACAGCACCCAGCTGCTTCTATCAACCTCCAGGTAAACCTTTCATCAAGCCCTGCCCCTTCTGCCCACTCCACTGCCGCTGCCCTAGGCCAGACTGTATCATTCTTCCTGGACAGACGATTACCCTCCCATCACCACCTGTCAACACCAGGCTCTGATGGGGGATACCACCAGTGCCCAGGCTTCCTACGGAATGAGCTACCTAAACAAGAGCTTTCTACATCTTCTGATCATCTGTAGGGCTGGCAATCCTGCTCCCCAGAGATGCCCACACTATATAGTCTACTCCAAAGAGGCTTCAAGCCCAGGCTGTCTCTTCTTGCTGTCACCACTCGGATGCAACATGAGACACTGATGCTGGTTTCAGGGGGGCGAAGACTCAGGTAACTGTTCTCCCTGCTGACTATGTGGCCCCAAGCAAGTTCCTGACAACTGATCAGAGCCAGAGACATCCATCACGCTCCGTCACAATAGCTACTGCATCCCAGGCAGCTGGCTCTCCCTGGACACTGCAGGGCCTATGCTCACTTTCTGACTCTACCGACCTGGGGATCTGAATTGTATGTCATCTTAGTGTGCCTCAGGCTGCTGTTTGGGGGCCACTGCTCTAAACATGATGCTGAGAAGTATCTGAAGCTTGGGCCACTATTCAGTCTGAACCTCTAAAGGAGGACTAGAGATGCCCAGGGACCCTGAGAGTACAGAGACTGAGCTGCAGCTCTCACTCAGCTGTCCACACTGAGGTGTTGCATGGACAAAGGTTCAAGCTCCCACATCTTAAGCATCCTTGTCTACAGGGACCCTGCAATCGTTCTCCTTTCTACCTCACAGTTGAGCACCAGGACACTTTACACAGGAGAAGCTGGGATCCACCCAATAGGGGTGTGAATGCGTCATGGCTGTAGAGTCCCAGTTCTGGACACTAGGGCATGTGTGCCTCATGCAGCCATTCCTGGCCATGGCTTGCTTACGAGGATGCTATGATGTACCACCTACAGGTCTTTTCCAAACTTAAGACTACCCATCTCATTCATATCTCTGTATCTCTGTGCCTTTCCTCACCCAAGACCTAATACTCAGAAGGGAGAAAGCATTGGCCTGGCATAGAGCGTGTTGTGGGGCAAGAAACAGAAAGTCCTTACTAGTAGGAAATAGGGTCAGTTATGGAAGAGAACTGGCCCACTGAGCTGGCAGACTGTGACTAGCCCAATGCCTTTAAGAAGGGCTAGGACTCAGGTCACTCCTATATACTCTCAGGCCTATGGAATGAGGCCTCCAGCCCTGCCCTAAGCTACAGTAAAAACCATACCCTGCCGGCTTACATCCCCCCACAACCCAAATATGCTCGAGCCCTCTCCTAGAAAGCCATGCCAGCTTTTGTGTCTGACGTTGCTGCTGCTATCTAAACATATGAGTTTCCTGTGTCCTGCCTGACCTCTCTGGATGCCTTCAACTTTCTCCTTTCTTGGTTCTCTGTCAAACCGTCTTCCTTATAGTCTGGGCTCAGTCACTCCAGACAGCTGCTGCCTTCTCCTGATGGCCCCAAAGCAGGGCCCCAATTCCTCTGAAAAATCTTTTCCTATTTGGCTAAAGGAACGGAACCTTTGTGACAGCAGTATAAAGTTGCACTAAGACAGGAGGGAGGCGGCGTCTCAAGGACCAAATCACAAGGAAGAACATGAGCTCTGAGGACTCAGATTCTAGTCTGCAGTCTGGCTTGGCGAAGGGTGAGGCAGGAGAGCTGCAAGGACTCCCAGTGAGCCCTACCACACAGAGGGTGACTAGAGCTGGAGGAGTGAAATTTGGGGGGCCTGATTTGGTTGAGTGTGACCTACTGATATTGAAGTACTCAGCTACCAAACACTGGGAACTGGAACCACAAGACAGGCAGTGAGACCTGTACAAGACAAGAAATGGCCAACTGTAGGGGCTAGGCCAACTGCTGCAGACACCGGGCACAGCTGTGTCCGCTGAGCAGCACACAGAGCGTACCAGGTCAGGACATAGGACAGCTCTGGCCTGGGAATAGCAATCCTCCTTCTAGCCCCCCATTACTCCCAAAGCCACTGGGAAGCATGGCTTTTCTGGAACCACAGGAGAACAGGGCTGATAAGAGGCTAAAGGACGGCTCAGAGGCAGCAGAAGCTAGGACCGAGGCATCGGCAGGAAGTCATGCATGTTTGTATACAGAGGGTAGGTGACAGGGCAGAGGTGAGGGTCCTTTTCACAGCAGCAGGGTGTGACCCATGCCCCATGCAGGAGAGAAAGCAGGGTCCTTAGAGCCTGTGGGCCAGAGGAGCACATCAGGCGAATGCAGACACGAGACACACATCCTATAGAAGAGCCACAGGCAAGGAAGGGGCGTCACCCGTGAGTCAGGTAGTGGATGTTAAGGCCCCAGAGACAAGAAACCTCTGGTGATATACACTGGGTGCCCCTGTGCCCGCCCAGGGAGGTCACCTTCTTGCTAAGTTGCTGATTCTCCTTCTCCAGCTCCCCGCACTTGAGGCTGCTCTCCTCCAGCGCCAGCGACGCGTCGCGCAGACCCTGGATGGTGCTCTGGAGGCTCTGGTTCTCCTTCTCCAGTTTCAGGATGCGGCTGGACGCGCACTCGTTAAGCTCAAACACGAAGGACTTCCTGGAGGCTGGAGGGCAGAGGCTGTCAGGGCCTAGCATTTTGGGAACCCCTGCTTCTACCCTCTGACACAAGCTGAGCCCCAAGAGCTAGGCACTCCCTCTTGTTTTCCATTCTCATCCCAATGGGACTACTGCTTCAGCACCCAAGAGTGAGGTTCTTTGATGGCAGGTCAGGGTCCACTCAATCTAGAGGTTAAGGAGAAACCAGATTACAGAGTGCAGGGGTCAATCAAGGGGCTTATGGGAACCCGGGTCACTACGCTGCTCAGCAGGGAGGGCAAAGTGACCAGGCTGACTGAGCGTGAAGGAAAGCTGTGCCTGTGTATATGTGCCCATTGCTGGGCAGCCTGAGCTAGAACCTTGACATGAAAGAGTTCTTCTGATGTTTTACAATTATGTCGAAGGAAAAGCTGGACAGTACATGCAAGCTGCTTTAGATTTCTCAGTGCGATGAGATAAAAGCTGGATGCTTTGAAAGGCATCTATACTCTGCTTTTGGAGAACCCAGCACTTTCTTGAGAGTCAAGAACTAGACTTCTTGGTCTTTTCCCCCTACAAGCAGGTGTGAGGCTTCCGGACAGTCAAAGAGCTTCCTAGGGGGACACATAGGCCTGAAACTCCCTAGGGAAACAGCCAAGGTTGTTCCTCAGTCCCTCATCTGGGCCTTATCACACCATGCCGCTGACGTTCTCTGTCCCTCTCTTACTCATCACCCATGTGTGTTCATCCCATGCGTGACGTGTGTGCTCAGATCCTTGGGCAACTGTAAGGACTGAGGAGTGTGTCCACTGTAGTGTTATCACCTACCAACAGTACAGACCCAACAGGCCTGACCTTCCTGAGCACCCAAAGGAACAATGGCAACAGTGGGGAGGGGACTGTGACAACAACCTAGTGGGTTCGGCTCTAGCATCAACACAGGATCAGAGACACTCGGGAGGGCCCCTCTCAATCAGCTAAAGAAAGTCACCTAGCCATCATGGGTCTCGAAGGAGAACCTACAACCACACTTTACTAAACCAGCATCATGCCCGACTACGCTCTAAACACCTATCTTGTACGGCACTCGCCATCATCAAAAGACAGAGATCATGATAGAAAACCTCAATCAATCAAGTGCAGAGAACAAATGATCACGTGGTGCTCAGCCCCAACTGATAACATTTACAACACAAATCCTGCACCAAAGGCTCAGGGATCACAGCAGAAGAGGAGTCTGAGAAGACTGTAAGAGCCACAGGCATAGGAAGTTGGCTGTGATATTTAATGTCCTAGAAATGTCAAAGCAACACCGTGAAGTGTCCCGAGAGCCCGCACTGCTTCTCCAGTCCACCAGGGGGCAGGCTTTAAACTTTACAGGAGAGACAATACCCTCTCCCACCCTCTGTGGATCCCAGGCACCTTGGCTTGGCACCCAGGCACCAAAGCAGATGCAACTCAGTGTCCACAGAAACAAGCACATTCAGTGCTTTCAAGTCCAGAGCTGGTTAAGAGCACTGAAAGAAATGACCTTGATAGTAGTCTCAGGGAATTTTCACTGAGCTCTTCTAAACCTAAAACAAGCCAGGTGCCCAAGCTGGCTTCGTAACGTGCTAAGTCAATATTAATTTGCAGTCGGGTGCATGGGAAAGGTGAATGTGGCTATTTTCAAACACAGGAATTGGTGTATTGTTTGCTGGGCGCTGGAGCTTCCTGCTGCAGTGCTGACTGGGGTCCCCCACCCTTCCCATAATGGACACCTTATCTCAGGGTACCGGCAGAGGGCAGCAGTACGTGCCAGGGAAGAGGACTCCCCTTCCCCGCCCCCCAGGAAGATCCATAAAGAGCCTAAGACTGGGGAGCAGCAGCCACTTAGCATCTCCACTAGGGAGACAGGACAGGCTGCATCCATCCTGCCCAATTATGCAAACGAACAGGGCAAATAATGTCCAGGGTACATTTATAATAAGGATTAGTGACCACTGGGGACACTTCTGGTGTCAGGGCTTTCTGTCATCAGCCAAGAGCTGTGATCTCGAAGCTCCCGAGTGTCCACATGGGAAACCGAGAAATCCCAACACTTCATTTGTAGTTTACTTCCAGGCATCCGGGCTGCCAGGCCCTCATATTTCCCCTGGGGAAGACTGTAATGAAACAGCTCCAAATGGCACTTGAGGAAATTACATTTACTTGTGGGGAATGGATGGGCTGCCGGCTCATCGCCAAGGGCTCAGCTCCCGGCTAAGCAGCAGTGGCTGTGGCGGAGCTGGGTCCCAGGCACCGGGCACTGCCTACCGTCGGACAAGTCCGCATTCTTGGACAGCTGTTCCAGCTCCCAGCCCAGGTGGGCCGACTCGTTCATACTCTGCTTCTGTGCGATCTCCAGAACCATGTTTTCTTCCAGCAGCTCCTCAATTCGTTTCTTGTCTGTGTCCCGATCCTGGTGCAGAAGGAGGAAAAGTGTGAGGACGGGTCTGATGGGCCTCAGACACAAAGGACCTATCGCTACCCACTGCAGGAGGACACCATGCTTCCTCCCAGACAGGGCTGCTCACAAATACTCCACTCAGGGACTTGCTGCTACAGGGACCACGGCTAGACCTCTGCAGGACCCCTGACCTGTCTACTGAGGTCAAGAAGGAAGTCTAAGGTCTCAGTGAACACTCTCTGAGCACAGGAACACAAAAACAGTGCTTTGCAAGAGGCACTGTGGTGATGGGCAACTTGTTGGCTCTGAAGTAGGTCTCTGCAGCCTCATGCTGTGACAGAGATGACATGCCAGTGCTCAGCCCTCCCGAGAGCCACTGAAGACCCCTGAAAAAGACACACGTGTGCTCACCCTGCAGAAGAGCGGTCACTTTTGCAGAAGTGATATAAGTCAGGCCCTAGCTGTGCCAAGGGCAGTTAAGTGCCCACTTGAGCCACTGAACTTACCAAGCTCTTCTTCCAGTCAACAAGCTGCTGGCAGGCAGCAGACTCAGAAGCTGGTTATCAGAAGAGCCTGCCTCTCTCATACCACCAACCCTGGCCCCCACCCCCACCCTGTCTCTGCACGTGGCTCCCGCTTCCTTAATACCAATTCCAAGTCGTGGAGTTTAGATTTCAGCTGCAGGTTCTCTTTCTCCAGTTCATGGACTTTATCACCGCGAGCCCGGGCGGCAGTCAATTGCTCCTCCAACATGGCCTTGGTCTCGATTAAGATGATGTTGTCTTCTCTCAGCTCCTGAAGAGCAAAGCCAACAGGAGAGCCATCAGATAAAGGCCGCATCGTGACCACAGGACTTCCAAACAAAGCGCTTTCAGGCCCCTGGAGCCAAGCCATCGGCCCAGGGACACACACAGTGGAAGCTCTGCATTCCGGTCACCCTCACCTGTTCTTCTGAGGCCAGGCAAGCGGACTCTCAAGGAAAAATTCAAGAATCAAGGAAATATTTAATGGTGCTGGGGTGTGGATCGGTGGCAGAGTGATTTCCCAGCATGCACAAGGTCCTGGGATGGATCCCCAGCACAGTAAATAACTTTGGGCAGGCAACCCTTCCTCGAGATCTTCCACAAGCCAGATGATGCTAAACTTGAACCCCGGTGGAAAAGTGGACTCCGTTGACAACGTGGGACATCTCTGGCCTAATCTTCCTTTAACAAAAAGTAGTGAAGGGGAGTGGCTGAGCCTTCAGAGGGGAGGGAGCCCAGGAGTAAGTCAGACCCTCTTAGTTCAGTATTTATGGCAGATAAGGAAGTCTTCGCTACAGCCACAGGACTATAGCACAGCAGGACAGGCAAATGCAAATCCCACAGAGAGGTGGAGGCAGACTGTGGCCTCTGCTAGCTCCACAGAGAGAGGCCAGTCTGTGTGCCATGTCTGTCAGACCCTGTCCTGAGCCTCTCATGTCCCATGAGCCCTTCCCATCAGTTCTTGGTGTCTTGAAGGTGGGGGGTGGGGACGGACATATGGACAGACGGATTTGCATGTCTCTCATGCCTTCAGAGCTTCCAAAGAGTGCACACTGGGAACTGCCACCTTCCTCTGCGGGAAAGAACCCCAGGACTTGTCCCACTCATAGAACTGCATCAAGGACCGAGGCGGGTGCTTCCTCTTACCCACCATGTGCTCCTTCTACCACGTGGGCCTCAATCCAAGCTCCATGGAGGGAAGCACTCACAGACCGGGGGCTTGATCAAAGCTAGCAGCTCAGTGATTCTATTCTAGTCTCCCATGTACTTTCAGAGACTCCATCCTCGACAAAGACCGCACCACTGCGGTTCACCTGCTCCTCACAGCACCCCTCCCAGGGCAGGCAGCTCGGGGTCAGTCTCTTCTCCAGCTCAAGCACATTAAGGAATGTGCCCGAAGTCACAGACCTGCTGTGGGCTGAGGCTGAGGTTCTCGCTTAGGCTACAGGGCTCGGATTCTGCCTTTTCTTCATGGCCCTCAGCTCCCAGAAGACCCACCCTGAAGGGCCTCTGGTTAATAAGAGAGGCCCAGGTTGCCGCTAATGACGTAAGACAGAGAATGAGGGTCTCATGTCAGCAAAAGGGTCCAGCACTCTCTTCCTGGTCCTTGTCCACCCTTTGTCTAGTAAGGTCTGCCCACCAGCACTTCCAGCATCACTACTCTTATACAGAAAGCAACCACAGGCTCTATGCCTTTATCCACACGGTAACCTCCTACCCAATCTTCAAGGTCCATCCTTCTAAGAATCTACTCCGTCCTATTCACTAGGTCAAGTCAGGCATTTTTTGGATTCCATCCTTCCCTGCTCCTGCTCTGAGGTTAACGGTGGCTATCCTGTCCTCTTTCCCCACTATGGGAACTCTTTGGGCTAGATCTGTTATACTTATGTGCAAGGGAAAATTGCAAATGGCATATGTGGTGGCCCTTGAAGGCTCTGAGACTCTGACAGGCAGGGACAGCACCTAACAGAATCATCTCTAGGCTCCCTCCATACCATCTCTGGCAGACTTCCGGTGGTCTCAACGTCAACAGTATCGGGTAAATAGACATAGCCCGCCCTGCCTCGAACATCTACCACCCCACAAAGCTAGAGAGTGGCCCTGAAAGATGCTATGCTAGTGGAGGCCAATGTCTCCACTAGCAGTCTGCAGGGATGAGAGGGCGGACTCCATTTCTGCCACAAAGTCTCGCTCTAAGACCTCTCAGGCCGGATAACTCCACCTAAGTGAAACGTGAGTTAATAACGTGCATACAATTCTCAGCGCACAATACCTGAAATCAACAGCTGTCCAGTCACGGACATGCCGCATCTGTGAAAGACAAAGCTCAACCCAGCACTCACTCACTCACCCACGAAACAGCTCCCTTGTCAACAGACAAAAATTGTTTTGCAAGGGTTTAGGGGTGTCGTTGAGCAGCAGAGGACTTGCCCAGCATACATGAAGCCCTGGATTCTGTCCCTAACACTGAAAAACAAAAGCCAACAACAAAAAGTAACTCGTTTCCAGGAGTACCTCTTGACCCTGCACCAATGCAAAACACCAGAGGGGAGTCAAAGAAACAGTTTCCTTCCCAGTGAGCTTTGGATCACAACATACAATGGCTCCTAGCGTCCACTGCAACAGAAAACCTAGGGGTGCCAGGGGAAGCAAGAGCTGGGCCACTGGATCCATAGCAACAGGCCTTTCGCTCCTTCCTGCCCTGTCTCCAGAAAAACTACCCTTACCCCATACCTCACTCATCAGTTCACTGCCATGGAGAGTTAAGGGCCGGGCATGCTCTACTCTGACCCTGATGGCCTGCGCCTGAAACATGGCCAGACCCGAAGATATGTAGGGACCAGACCAGAAACCAAAGGCCTCCTCTGTCCTATTCAACTTGACAGGTCTCATCACGGTCCCCTGGAAGCAACAGAGATGAAGGAAGTCCTAAGGCAGAACAGAAGACTGGCCACCCAGCACCTGAGTTCTCCTCAGCAAGCTCCCTGGAATTTAACATTCCTTACTTGGGCTGTGGGAGGCCGGCTCCCTCCATCAGCACCTCCATTTCTGCACCACCCTTCTAGCCCCTTTTCTTCTCCTTATGGTCAAGGCTCCCCTCATTCTCTTGCAGCCTGTCAGGGCTCTGGAGACAGAGCCAGACACATTCCGATCCCAGACCACTTGCTTAGCAACTGTGATGCCTTTTCTTGTCTGAAGAAAGGAGGGCTGCTACACCTCGCAGGGTCTCTGTGGGCCTCAGATGCTATGGTGGGCCCAGAGCTAAACATAGTTCGGGCTCTTACAGTCACTACTGCTCACCTGCTCTGTAACGGACTAGACAGCAAGACTGTCAGAAGTAGGGGATGGGGCATCGAGTTCCAACACAACCTTACCCATAAAAGCCAGCGGTGGGTTGGATTTAATCTGCAGACTATAGTTTTCTGGCTCCAGAGTAGAGAATATCACTGGCACAGAGGCCTCATGAACAGTAAGACACAGAGTAGCTTTCTAGGCTCACAGTCAGGTCAGGAAACAGAAACACACATGACAGTAAGAACGTATTTCACATACTGCCCAGAAAGAGGGGGCTTATAGAAGAAACATGAAGCATGAGATGAGGACATGCTGAGCTCACAGACCCAACCCTGCTCTGACCCTATCCAGACCACTACAAGGAGAGGCAGGCAGCCTGGATAGTGTTTGTGGAAGGTGCAGAGGCCTGGAGTCCGGGGTGGGAGTGTCTGGGGTGCCAGACAAGGAGAGAGCATGGAGTCATCCTAGTGATGGAGAGGTATTTGGTGGACCACTAAAGGGGTTACCCTAGAAGCTGACCAGGGAACTGAGCAGCAGAGCCAGTTTAGATCCAGGGAGGGCTTCTGTATATAAACACTGGAGTAAACAGAGCAAGCCAGCAGGAGGCAGCTGGAGAGGCGTGCGGCTTCAGGTACCTACTGAGGACAGCAATATGCTGGGAGGCAGGGACATGAGCTTAAAGGATGGTGAGCCCCTGAGCCTGACCCATGTGGGGTGGGTGAGGTGAGGAGACAAAAGGGAGGTGAACCTCTGCTTGGGCCTAAGCACCAAGTGCAAGGAAAACGACTGGACTCTGCAGTTAACACAGGCTGGAGCGGAAGGCGGACAATGATTCCAGACATATTAACCGAGACACCTACTTGATGCAGATCTGACAGCAGCAAAGGGACCAGCCCAAAGCTCAAGGCACCGGGTTCTTACTGTTCCTGAGTCCCGAGCATCTACAACTGAGGGTGACAGGCACATCCAGAAGAGCTACGAGCCTCAGGGTACAAGGAGGCCACCTGGAGTTAGGGCAAGACTGACCAAACCCTTCCTGACCCTGGGGCCCCACTGCTGCCATCTTAGGGGTGTGATCTTGGAACAGAAGTTGTTAGGTATGAAATAGCCTGGAACAGCCTGGAACTGATCGTTAACCCAGCTCCTAAGGGCCGGGGCTTACCAGTGACCCACCCATCTCTCTGGCTGCCTCTGTTCCAAGGCTTTTATCTCCACTCAGGGGTTCCCTGTAGAGGAAGGCTGGCTAGGATAAGCTTGTTGCAGGCATGCCTCGGTGCCTGGGAGGCCAGGGCAGGACACACCCCTCGTTTCCTAACAGGACGAGACTCGCCCCACACTTGGCAGAAGAGTGAACTGCTGGGTCTCAGTCCCTCTGATTAGTTTGAAACTAGCACTTCCTAGAAAGCTGTTGGTCTACACAGACAGGAAGACCACCACTGCTATGCCCAGGGTGCACACAGCAGCTGGGCATCTGCCTTTTGCCCCAGGCAGACATTATAAGCCAACCATGCAATACGGAAAAAGAAAACCTTTCAGGCCACGTCACTGCCTCTTTCCCTACAGCCTTGCCCGGACCCTCTTGCCCCAGGCAGCGGCCCCAGGAGGACCACTGTTTTCAGAGGAGGTCACGAGGGCCAGCTGTGTGCCCAATCCACGCTTCCTCCTGAACTGGCGTGCTTTTCAGGTCTCAGGCGGCCCACCCCCCACCCCAGCACTGTTCCACAAATGCAGATGGCTGCTGACTCCTGCTCAGGTGAGCTTGCTCACCTGCCTACCACAGCTCAACCTGTCCTGAGGAGAGCACCCCCTGAGCTTCTCTCCCGAGCACAAAACTCTACCCGGCAATAGTTTCTTTCTCTGGGGTTCCCAAGGATCTGTGTGCACTGCCGTGTGAGGTGGGATCCCCACCATGGCTGGAAGCTCACATGGAGAGTCTGACCACACACGGGTATTGAGGCCTGTGGAACGGAGCATCTGCAGCCAAGAGCCTCTGTAGAGAAGTATGTACAGTAGTGTAATACCTGAAATTAACCTAAGCCCCACCCACCCAAGGGCCAGGTAACTTCCAGGGATGCCGAGAGTTGTAGTTCTTGAAAAATAACAAAAGCCTTATGGGAAAGTATGGTGGCCTATGGGTTTGTTCTTATAAGTACCTGCAAAAGCTTGTCTCGCGGCCACTCAGCTGGGAATTCCAGGGAGTGGTCCTGACCAAAGCCTATCTTGGTCAGTATTTAATAAAGCTTGCTTCAAATTTGGCTCAAAATGGTGGAGTTGGTTTTTCTCTTGTGAACCTCTTACCCTAACCTAGCACCTCAGGAGGCTGAGCCAGAAAGATCCAGCCCAGGCTACACTGTGAAATCCTGTTTGAGAATTGGCAAAGGTCCACAGCATGGGAGTGCAGAAGCACCATTAAAAAAAAAAAAAAAGACTTCTGAGACCTATTCCCTAGGGACTGGGTAAGACAGTAATTCAAACTGTGTGTGTGTGTGTTTGTGTGTGTGTGTGCAAGCGCGCGTGCCGTGTGCACATGCTCTTGAGTGTGTATGTGTGTGTGCTGGGGATGTGGTGTGGAAATCCAGGTGTCAAGAAGGCCAGAGGGTGGGGCTGAGCGTCTTCCTCAATCACTTTTCTCCTTTATTTTAAACACCCACTGACTGGCTAGACTAGCTGGCCAGCAAGCCCCAGGGCTCTTCCTAGCCCCACCCCCGGTGCTGGGACTGCAGGAGCAATCCGAACTCAGGCCTCCTGCATGTGTAGCAACCACTCTACCAGCTGAGCCATCGCTAACCCTCACCTTTTAAAAAGAATGCGGGTTTACTTTTTTTTTTTTTATACAAAGCATTTTGCCAACCGAGTGATGCGATTATGGTATTACCATACCCAGGTTGCACTGTCCCTTCTATCACTAATATTTTGTCACAGAAAAATATAAAATGTAGTGAAAAGTCAAAACTGGCATCGCCTTAACACCTCCACACACACCACCCAGACTCTATTGCTAACTTCTCACTATATTTGCTTCATCGAGTGTCGAAACCTCTGCCCGTTGTTTCATCTTACTCCTAGATGCCCGCACCTTACTACAAGACAGCCTCAATTTATAAACACATTCTCCACGGCATTGTGTTCAGTCGCCTAGAAGCAATTCTTACTTCTCCCTGAAGAACTACTAGTTACTGATGGATGCCAGAGAGGCGAGCCAGTGTCCTAGCTGTGTGCCCGATGGTGAGCCCATGAGCTCCAGCGGCCAGTTCCACACCCACAGTCATGCAGGCAGCCTTGGTTAAACTCAGCGGTCCCAAAATAAAGCAAAGCATCATGAACATGGAAAAGGGACTCGTGGGAAGAGTTTGGGGGTTAGAGCAACTAGAATGCATGCTACAAGCATGCCCGAAGGAGTCAAAACTCGATCTAGTTAATAAAGAATTATTCTTAAGGATCTCATGGTGAGTCCCTCAGAAAAACGCATTATCACCACACTTAAAAAGAAAATTCCGATTTTTACATTAAGTTAGATATACTTAATTGACACAAACTTAAACCCATCAAAGGCAACTGTGCACTCAGACAGCGCTGGCCCCCTGACAACAGAACACTTAACACTAAGAAATGCTTGTAGGCCCAGGCCCAGCCCTCTGACGGGGAACAGTTACCCCAATCTATGCAGGCCCAGACAACACCAGCATCTTCAGGCACAGCAAGCTACCCAAGGCCTCTGAGCTGCCCTTCAGCTTAGTGGCATCACACCTGAGAGCCCAGCAGAGCAGTGGCCAGGGCTGGCCTGTGTCTACAAGAAGCACAGCAGTCACCAGGTCTGCAAATACAGTGCCACCCAAGAGAGAACTCAGTAAGCATGATTCTGCAACCCCTGGTGTGGGCCAGGGCTGTTCCAGGCACTAAGGACACATACCCACGAGCAGTGCAAACCAAGTTCTTTTCCAGGAACACCTCTCTCAGGAGGGGCCCAGGGAAAAGGGAGATGGGCTTGAGTGCAGGCTTGAAGGAGCTTCTGGGATATACACCACAGTCCCACTCACCAGACGTTGAGTGAAGATGGTACAGTCTGCATACACTGGCTGGCTGGGCCTCCAAATTCACCTCACACTACCCCGCCTCATCCCAGGTGTCGACTGGACTGCCCTGTCTGTTGCTTTCTCAGGCTTCTCAGAATGTGATTCCTCCTCTGCATGGTATACCCAGCCCGCAGCTGCTCCCCATTGTTCCTCAGAGTGGCCCTCCCGAGGAAAGCACTATTCTGAGGAGGGGCCCTCTTGTGCGGCACCCATAGAGCACGCAGAGACCACATCCTAACTGTGGGCTGGCTCACCTGCTTCTCAGCAGACAGGGAGCTTTAAGAGAGGACCGGCAGTGTTCCTGCCATTTCTGCTATGGTCTCGACACTGCTCAGTCAACACCACCAACGTCAATCCCACACCAAAGTGTTACAGGAGGAGAGACCAAAGAAGTCATCTGCAGAGTCTCCAAGGGGCGGCTAATACGGCTGCTGGGAATTCTTCAACCACTGAGGGACATCCAGGTACTATGGACTGAGCCCTGGGGCCATATTCCTGAGAAGAGCAAGCCTCTCCTGTCTGGCCCAACTCACCAGCCACGAAAGCACCGTCACCTTCCCCAGGGCGGTCCATGCAGACAAATGCACTCTTTCTTACTGTTAACAGAACGAAGGTGAGACCTAAAGAACTACTACTTAGTTCGTGATAACCTTCTATGAAATTAATATAAAAAGTGTTGCTGTGCTGAACTGAGCCACATGTTAAGAAAACAGGTGGGAAAGGAGTTCCTCCTGCAAACCTCTTTCAAAGGCTAGATATCCCCTGTTGCAGAGAGCCTGACTCCTGTAGCACCACTACCATCACCAGCAGCACAGCAGCCTGTTGCATGTTGGAGGGAGAACGTTGGGACAATGTTGGAATGAATGTGCAATCTGGATCTGGGACCCACCTACCTCCACGGAACACAGGTACTGGAGCGAGTCCTGGCCATCACACTGTATCCCTGACCCCGTCTGGGTGCCTTTCGAGGTTCCAACTTCAGGAAGAGCTGCTGAGGCAGCAGTTTGTGAAAGTGTACAAGACCATAACTAAGGCTCCAGGGGTGGCATCTAAATGAGCATCTGAGCCCAACTGGTGCACACTCTTCCCCTGCAACCCTTCAGGCCAGAACTTACTTTTGGCAACATGGGCAAAGGCAGTGAGCCCAGAGGGGTTCTCAAGACAAAGACTGGGCTCCCTCTCCAGTTCTTGCCCAGCATCCAAGATGTCTTCTTAGCACGGAGGAAAGTGAGTCACCCTGCCACTCACAGTCCTCCACCTGGATTTACCCGGTGTCCACAGGATTTAAAGTAAAAGCCTCATGCTGGGCCTGGTGGCATTCACGAAGAAGGCTGACGCAGGACAGCTGGAGCCCAGAAGTCAAGGCCAGTGTGGGCAGGATAGCAGAACCCAATCTCAAATGGGGGTTGGGGGGAAGGAAGGGACAGAGAGATAGGTCAGTGGGTAAAAGCATCTGCCATATAAGATTGACAATTCTAGTTCAATCCCTAGAACCCACATCAAAAACTAGACAAAAGGGGGTGGAGAGGTGGCTTGGTGGTGGTCGTTGCTTTTGCGGAGGACCCAAGTTTAGTTCCCAGCACCTGCCTATACAGAGCAATTCAGAGCCAGCTGAGACTCCGAGGGCACCGCACATACATGCACATGGTCCCCACCTACATACAAACCATTAAAATTAGCTCAATCTTTTAACAAATTAAAAGCCGTAAGTGGTGGCACATATTTGATGTTACAGCACCCCAACAGTGATGTGGGAAGCAGAGACGCAGGCTGGTAGCTCTCAGGCCAGCCAGTCTGCAGAGCGCGGCAGCACAGCCAGAGAAACAAGACTCTGTCTCAACACAGTAGGAGAGAAACGCCAGAAAGTCTTCCTGCCCTCCATACATAGACTGTGCGTGCCCACACGTACAAACACAGTCAGGAAAGCAACAGGGACAAGCTGGCATAGCTTCCAATGTCTATGAGGAGATCAGGGGACCTGCCCAAGCACCAGCATTCCACAGCACTGCGGAGATGGAGGCCTAGCCAACAGTCCGGACACTGCAAGCCTTACGTAACAAAAACACAAAGCAAAACAAAACCAAAAGCCATGTTGTTCTGACTAGTTTTATATCGACTTGACACAAGCTAGAGTCATTTGGGAAGAGGGACTCTCAACTGAGAAAAAAAAATGCCTCCAAAAGAGTGGCCTGACAGCAAGTCTAGAGTGCATTTCCTAACTAGAAATTGATGTGGGAGAACCTGGCCCATTGTGGGCGGTACTACACCTGAGCTGAGCAAGCCAGGAAGGAGCACGCCAGTAAGCAACTCTTCCGTCAGCTCCTGCTTCTAGGTTCCTGCCCTGTCCTCCATCAGTGATGCACTCTAAGCTGCAATGGGAAATAAACCCTTTCTTCTCAAAGTGTCTTTTGGTCATGGTGCTTATCACAGCAGTAGGAACCCTAGGGCAGACATGAAGTGGGCGAGAGAAAAACTCTGAAAAGAGCAGGGCTACAGAGATACCCAGGAAGAGCCTAGGCAGCGGGTGGTGGGGAAGTTGGCTGCTGCGGCATGGATCTCTCAGGCCCTCTGAGGACACACAATTTGGAGCAGTGTCTAGGAGCAGTGTCTGGAAGCCCACAGGGCCACCTCATTCCACCTCCGGGGTGGCTGCTTACCTCCATGCGAGCCTTGTAGAAGTCCACATCATGCAGCTTCTCCTTGCAGCGGACCAGCTCCATCTCCAGCCTCTCCACGCGGTTTGCCTTCTCCCTCAGGGAGTCCAGCTCATCCCGATAGGCACGGGCTGACCGGGCATCAGCCGCCAGCTGAATGTTCTGTAAGGGTGGAGAAGGGGGAAACCCAGCTTACGGCACGAATTCGAGGGTGCAGGAAGGCTCAAATCCCTGTATCGTGGGGTCTCCTGGTGGCCAAGGAGCTCTGTGTCCACACCACCCCGTGAGGTCTTCCTGGAACCTTGAGGGAGCTCTCATGACAACTCTGGACAGCTTTGGTGGACAAGTCCCATGCTACATTCTTGACCCCCTGGGACCAGTTACTGGGGAACCCCAGCCTCAGCCCCTGGACAGGCAGGTGCAGGCCTTGTGCTCACATCTTGCTTGGCTTTCTGAAGCTCCAGGACCAGCTGATCCACCTCATGCCTGGTGTCCGAAAGCTGCTCCGTCTTCTCCTCCCTGCGAGTGTGATTGGGAGACAGAGCGTGAGGAGGAGGAAGATGCTCCCTGGCAGGCTGTGGGAATAAGCTGCTACATCTAGGACCACAGAGGGGAAAGGAGGGCACACAGGCTTCTGGGAGCCTGTGAAAACGCTCCTGACACTTCTGTGTGTTTGTGCATGTGCTGACTGGGGTGTGTGTGTTGTGTGTGTGTATATGTGTGTGCGTGCTCACCTGTGCAAGTGCCTGTGGAACCCAGAGATTTGACAGTCCACGTCCTCCTCTATGCCCTTCACATTACTTTTTTTGAGACAGAGTCTCTCAATGAAACAGGAATCTGCTGTTTCAGCTCATCCGGCTGGCCAGCAAGATGGGAGATCCTTGTCTACACCCCTCAGCACTGTACCCACTAAGCCATCTCCCCAGCCTTAGGTTTCTAACACGTACCCTTAAACTGGATCCATTCATCACCTATTGTCCCCAAGACAGATAAAAAGAGAGCCTAGGCACAGCTCTGAGTGCAAGATGGCTCTGTGAGATCAAAAACGGAGAGGTAGGGCTGAGCAACTCCCCAGAGGGACAGGTAACATTCACAACCTCAAGAAATCAGGAAAGAACCAGCCAAGAGAAGACTCTGTTCACCCAGCCCTACACTGAGCATACACAGCATGGCACAGCACAACTTGGCACAGCAGCCTGCTTTGATAGACTGGCTGCAGCCAGAGCACCAGAAAGCCCTCCCTACAAGCGCAGGCCTGCAGACCGCTGGTGACGAACCTTCAGCCGTAAGGAGCTCGGAGCAGGCCTGCCAGCTGCACATTAGCAGGGCTATTTCACAACACCGCACGCACAGGACAACTACACGAGAAGACCCTCATGAGGGCCATACCACAAAGCAGAGGGGGAAGGTGGGACTCACAGCTCCTGCCTGACGCGCCGCAGCCTGGCCTTGGTGTCAGCCAGCTCCACGGCCAGGTGCTGCTTGTCCTCGCTGGACAGGCTGCTGGTGGGGCTTGGTGTGGAGTCTGGGCTGGAGAACTTGCCGGGGCTGGGAGGGTGCTGCGCCTGCAGGTAGTCTCTCTCTTGTGTCAGGTCCACAATCAGCTGCACAAGACAGGGAGAAGACAGGAATATGTGCGTTTCCCCAGTGCTCCCTGGACTGGCCCAGTGTCCAGGTCCAGACTAGGAGCAGAACCACAGAGACAAGAGACTGAAGCCAGGAGGGAGAGGCTGTTACGTATTTTCAGGAGGTACCTTTCAGTGTGACAAAAGAGAGTGTGAGTGGAGGCAGACCCCACCCATGCTAGTCACCCTGTCTGGCTTCTGTCTTCCTGTAGGCTCCTCTGCAAAGACCACTCACTGCAGGGGTTATACCCCAGGGGACATACCGCTGTCCCACCCCAAAGATCCTGACTAGCAGGCCAGGGGCATTCAGACCCGAGACAGAGAAGGAGAGAGGCCACACGCCACAGCTGCCCCCTCGGCACACCTCGGTGCACTCGTCACGTTCATCGATGAGTCTGCGGAGGTGGAACACCATGTTTCTGGAGAGGGCCTCCAGCTCCTCTGGGGCCACATCCGGCAACTCCAGCCACTGCAGGTCAAACACATTCTCCTGGTTGTGGGTCACCTGTGGGAATACGGCCCAGCATTGCAGAGGCTGCCGTGTCCAGCCCTGGTATTCCTGAATGCTCAGGGCCATGTGGTGTGTGGCCCAGGCAGAGGCCAGAACCCACCATACACCTCATTCCCATACCAGAAACTGCAATGCCCTCCCCAGACATCAGTAAACCCTCACTGATAACTTGCCCTTGGCTAACAGGAGGTCTCCTTGAGTCAGTTTAGAACCCATGAGTATAAGCCACTTCTTTCCTAGGATGACAAGGCACTGGGATTCACTTGGGATGCTGTAAGCCACATTAACTTATGGAGAGGAGGTTAGTGTCTCAGTGGGGAGATGAGAAACAGGCCCTACCTTATTTCTTAAAATAAAACCTAATGCAAATAGAACAGAAACGCTAAGCCTCTTAGCTTAGAATAGTGTGCACATAGCAATCTTGGGATTCTTCGGGGGAGCTATTTACAGTCTAAGGTGATTTTGAGGCCTGGAGTCTCACTCCCACAGACCACAGTGGGCAGCCTGGCTTCACCACTCTCCTGAGCTGAGATCTGCTGAGCTACCATGTCCCCTCACTGTCGCGCAGTGTAACGCACAGGTCTCAGAGGGGAAGGCAACACCACAGGAAGTGAGGGTCCACTGTGGAAGCACTCAGATGTCTGAACTGGGAGAAATCTTATCTCATGCTACCCTGAAGTCAGGATCTGAGGGCCAGGTCCCCAGCCCTAGTACAGACCAAGGTGGGGAGACCCTGAGTCTCAAGGACATTGTGGCTGGCTTCAGGGTCTCTAAGCCAGCAGTACAGTCACCTGCTGAGCTTCTAATTACAGGCCATTCTCTATCTCCCTTGACTCGGACAAGCAGCTCCACAACAGATCCTGGGCATGGGGACTTTTAAGAAGTTCCCAATGAAGCCCTATGCCAGCCAGTGAATTTTATAATCACACAGGCCTCTTTGGCTGTATATTTATTTTTCTATTTTTAATATCCCGCTGTCTGTGCAGGAAGGACAGTGAGTGGCCAAGAACTGATAAATCTCAATGACCTAAGTCCCCAGACATATCTATTTGCAAAACACAACACTCACAAGGAAATTAAAAGGCAGATTGTTTCTTAAGCCCAAAGAGGCACAGTAGTGGCCAAAAATATTTATTAAACACTGACTTTCTCCTACGTCAGCCCTGCCAGTCCTTCAAATGAAATGAATGACACCTATATCCTACTTCAAATCCTGGCTTGAAACTCTCGACCCTGAGGTGACCCAGCCAGTGTGGGAGACAGGTAGTCTGGCCACAGCCATGTTGCCGGCACCCACCACAGAAGCCCCGCGTCTGGTGCTTCTTCTAATTGCACGGCAGCCCTTGCGTGCTCCCATCCCTGCATTTAGCTACTTGGTCTAATTAGAGTGAGCTCTGAGCCCTAACGAGGCACTCAGTGCTGAGACGAAGGTTCATCCTGAGTGGACATCTGCCCCACAAGGAAGCCACCTTTTCAGCTGATGCCCTCTCAGTCAACCTTAGGCAGAGGGGACAGGAGGCCTGGCTTGCCCTTCCCCGTGGCAGTGGCAGTACAGAGGCCTCCTGAGGCAGCACTCTCAGGACGTGCTGGCTTTGACGTCGCACTTGGTGGCAGCTTGCTTCCTTGTGTGTCACTGACAGCAGCGGAGACTCTCCATGGATCAACCGTTCAGAGCAGGATGACATTTGCCAGAATACATTTTCAAGGCCTATAAATCAAATTCTGGGCCTAAACCATCTGACAGCTCTTAAAACCAGTCTGAGTCCATATAAGGCAAGAAACAGCAGGCAGAAGATGACTTGATTGAAGTGCTGATTTTTTTTTTTAAAACCTCTATTGTATTTTAGCTTGCTGGTGGCTACCTTTCCAAACACAATCAATGCGTCTGTGGTCTTATGAGACCTAAAATTGGCAGAAATCATTCATGCTGATGTAGTCCTCAAACTTTTCCACTACGGATGCTGCCTCCTGCCACAGCCCCGGCATCCACGGCCTCCCTCCAGCCCATGCCTACCTCCTGGATGTGAGCCACGATGCCAGCCTGGGTCTCAATGTCCAGCTGTTTGATTCTCTCAATGAACTCCTCTTTCCTCTCACACTGTGAAGGGGTTACACCAGTTAATGGATACCTCTATCCAGGTACAGGAAAACATGGGTAACAACCACACCCATACCAGCCTGGGGTCCTCGTACCACCCGCTCACCAAGACCACACAAAGCTCTTCTGGCTACCTACAGGAGGCTGGCTTCAGATGCCCACCTTTGATCCCTCCCAGGTGAAAACTTGGGTGGGCTACAGAAATGCTTGCTTCACGCAAGCTATTCACAAGCAAAATCGGCGCACCTGACTCAGGGTGAAGGCGGGCACACCCTAGGGGGCAAAAGTTTCGGCTTGGTGGCACTGGGGGATAGAACGCAGGCTGAATGCCCTGTTACTGAGCTTGGCACCAGTCTGTGGCTTTTTGAGACAAGGTCTCTGTAGTCTAGGTTACCCCCGACTCATCTCCGAAGTGCGAAGATTATCGGTTCGTGTCATTATGCACAATGAGATGCTTTCCTGGCCTTTGCCACAGATCCTCCATGCAGCATGACGGTGGCTCACTAAAACCCACTTACAAAAGCAGGCACCTGAGATCTGGCCTACAAGCACTAGGAGCTTGTAGGTATGCTATCCTGGCCTGAGGGGTCTCTACCTCAAGGTGCCTGGCACTGCAAACAGCTGCTACACTGTCTCCCAGCAACTCCTGTGCAGACGGACTGACCACTTTGAACTCCCTTCACCCACTGCGCAGCCCTACCTTACCTGAACAGCACAGCCCAGTACCAGCAGCAACACCTTCTTAATCTCCTCCATGCTCTTCCCTGTGTCAAAACAGCACAGACTTAATTAAGTTCAACTGCTTGAGAAAGTCCCCAGAGATGTGTGTTTTGCTTTAAGGAGGAAAAAAAAAAATCAGATAATGACAAAAAATAATAATAATAGTAATCCCAGTAGCCACTTACACGTGCACACCACACAGAAGCTCATTTATTTTTTTACCTCATGAGAACTCTGGGCAGAACCGTTTGAGCCCTTTACCATTCACACACCTTATAAATCTCTCTCCATGACAATTAACATACCTCCCCGTCAGCAAAAACTTTTCAGTGTGTGTTATAAGCAAAGCCCAATAGGGACACCTGTATACAATTCTGCCTGTTATCATGAGAGATCTCAAACAGAGCAGGCAGGACAGTATGGAGCACCGAACACGTTCAGCTGCCAATGCTTGGGCCTCTCACATTCCCCTTCCCCTTTTGTTTATAAGGTTCAGTGTCAGAGTGGAGTGTTCTTATGTAAACCACAGAAAACACATACATACATACATGCATACATACATACATGTATGTGTGTTTGTGTCATCTTTTGCTTTTTGAGACAGAGGCTTGCTATGTACCCCTGGCTGTCCTGGTTCTTGTGACCGGCCCCCTTCGTCAGCATCCTGAGTTGTGACATTACAATCACGCACACACACCTGGATATACACTATTTTTTGATGGTTACCAAATCACTCTGCACAAACATCAACCAACAGCCTTTCAGGGGATCAAGTTTTCAATATCTTGATCTGAGATGCTACAAAGAATATCTTAGTGGCTACAGCCTTACTCACTTTCCTGGGGCAAACATTTTTACACTATGGCCAAACTGTCTTGCACACAGGCTCTTGAATTATGTAAATATTTCCACTTTCCAACCCTTGATCAATATATCTGGCCACTCTCTTAACTGTGCCACGAGGATGGGGCCCCAAACCCTACTTCATTCAAAGCGGTTGTGTATGACTGTGCTTGAGGCCGAATGTCTGTGTCCATTACTAACCAGTACCAGAGGACCTGGGCTCCACAATGCAGTGATTAGGAAAAGCCACCCTCGGTGTCCAGCATCAGGTTCTACCTCTGTAAGATGGAGGCAGCTGGCCCGGGTAGTGGGCAGGGTTTTCCATTAAGGCTTGTTAAAAAACAAACTACCGTTTTCCACCTTTTTCATCACACCCTGCCATTCAACAGGGAAAGGTGTTGTTTCATGTTTTATGCCAAGAACGTTACATCAGTTTCTTGAAAGTCTTTCTGATGCGCTGTGCCAAAATGGCCCCAAGTATCAACTGGACGCACTTGTGGTAGCAACTTTCACTGTCATCTTGACTAAGTAGAAGCACCTAGAACCACCCTGTGTGCGTCTTTGAGGACAATTCCAGAGAGGCTCAACAGAAGAGGGAAGGCCAATGCTTACTGGATGGCGCCATCCCGTGGGTTGGGGTCCTGGACTGAAGGAAAGGGAGAAAGGGAAGAAGCCTGATTAAGGGCCAACATCCCCCATTCTCTGTCCTGACAGAAGCAGGAGATGAGGTGATGTGGGGAGTCTGACCCTCCCACCACCATGAACTCATCTTTCCCCACCATGATGGACCCTCTTAGCTCGTGAGCCAAAATAAATTTATTTCTCCTTAAGCTGCTTCTGTCTGGTATTTTATATCAAAGAAAAAAAAATAAACAACTAATAGGACTGCACAAATGAAAAACCCAAACCATATCCAAGAACTGGGAAACAGGCAAAAGGGTGTGGCCAGTAACCCTGAAGAGCCTGCTAATTCTTGGCTGAGACTTTGCTGAACTCAACTCCCTGGCGCCAGCATGGTTGGCACACTTCAGAACAGGGAGCTAGCTGAGAGTTCACTCCCAGCCTCAAGGTGGGGCCTGAGGCCATCTCCTTGACACACCAGAAGATGAGGTTCAGCGATGTGCATCCATATACTACAGCCTTCTACTCGGCCAGAGGCTCTAATGCACACACTGCCACACTCCCTTCTTACCACTGAGAAAAAGGGAACTCCCACGTCCAAGCGCCAACAGCCTCAAGTCAGCCAGGCCAATGAAACTCTCCAGGGCATCGACAGTCATCCTCTAGCTCTTCCCCCTCTTGAGTTTCACAGACAACTGGCAGGCAGGCGGACCTCAGGTGCCCTTGCACGGATATGAAAGTACTGGCCGCCAGCCCTACTGTGAGATAGACACAGCCCCTGCTTCCACGATTACCTGTCCTTATCACTGGGTCTGAGACAAGGGAAGAACATGCTTCTGGGGCCTGAGCTCATGCGGAAAATCGTTACTCTATTCACAGCCAAGGACCAAAGGATCTACTTATGGCATCTTCAGAACAACTGAGACAGCTCCAGTGAGACCTGTTAGAACAGCAGACTAAATGGGGGGGGGGTGCGTTCAAGGGGACAGTCCCCACCAGATGGGAGAAGCAAGCTCTGTGTCTACTTCACTGAGAGCGGTTAGACCTCACAGCACTGTACAACACACGCCAAAGAGCTCGTGTGAATACCCTTGGCTTGGGTGTTCTCGGCAGAGATCAGTGTGGGAGCAAATTCGTAACCTAAGGGTCCTGGGTTGACTGACACACACTATGAATGTGCCGACATGTCACAGTGAGGTACAGTCAGTCTGTATTTGTGACCTGTCAATTAAAAACAAACCAAAGTGCAAACGAGAGGACAGGCCTGATGCTAGCTAGCAGCAAGACTATGACCAAATACTTTGACTGCAAAGTGTTTAGAATCTGCATGCAGAGGAATTTTACAGAGCAAGTTTCAGGTAAAGAAAAGTTTAGGTCCAGGCGTGGTACACGCCTTTAATCCCAAACAATAAAGGTAAAGTTAGTTTGTAGAAGGAAGCACCCATATTTGAAAGTGATGTTTAATTGAGTGACAGAAACAGTGATGAGAGAAACATTTGACAGAATAGGATACGGCCAACTCTCATGAGAAGAGAGAGGAAAGGGAAGCTACTTAAGGGGGCAACGAGAAGAGAGAGAGAGAAAGAGAGAGAGAGAGAAGCCATTTTACTGAGAGAGGTTGAATGAGAGAACAAGCTAGACACAGGTAAAGACCGAATGAGCCAGATAATAAAAAGGAGCCAGGAGATTAGAGCAGATGGCTGGAATTAGTTTGAGGCCAAGCAGAGCAATTCAGGGGCCTAGAGGACAGCTGAATTGAATAAGTTAGCTGGGAGAAGAGTTTGAGCCAGAACAGCTGAGTCCAGAACTCAGTAAGGACAAGAAAGGGTGAGCTAATTACGCAGTAAGATTCAGAGGATGAAAACATTCTAGGCTAGATTGTACGGAGGCTAGGAGCTTCGAGACCTAGGCCTAGGCTAGCGGAAGGGGGCAGTAAGCCTCCCAGACGAGAACTTAAACAGGTGAATAAAGTTACTTTTACACCTGCACTTATGTGAGTGCTCAAAACTACACTGAAGGGGCTGGAAAGATGGTTCAACAGCTAAGAGCACTCCTGCTTCCATAGGACCCAGGTTTGATTCCCAGCACCCAGGTGGCAGATCACAACTGTCTGTAACTCCAGTTCCGGGGGATCCAACGCCTTCTTCTGATATCCACGGTATCTTCTGTGCGGACATATATGCAGGCAATCCGCCCATACACATAAAAAATAATTAAAACTGAACAACAAAATCCAATGAGTTAGTAAAAGAGCAAAGTCACACTCCCCCACCATGCTGCCATCACCCACGTGTCACACTCATACAGTGACCCATTCGTCACGCGCCTACACAGAGACAAAAAACAAAAGTACAATATAAGAAATTTAAAAAGTGAAATGTTATCTCTGTAGAGTACAGTTTGAAAAATAAGATTTTTTTTTCTTAAATTGGAGAACAAAGGATAAAAGAAAAAAAAAATTAGGCTTAGAAAAAAATCATAAAAGAAACAACGGAAAACAAATCTGCTGAAGAAAAGCAGGGTCCTAACCCCCTGCACCACACCCTTGGCCTACCTGGCCACTGACGCTTGCAGCAGCCCATTCTTCCACCAGGCGGATTCTTTCCTACAGTGAAGCCCAGAAGGAAAAGGCCCGAGCCCACTCCACTCTGTTCTTGTGAAAAGGGGATGCCTATTTCTTTCAGGATTCCACTCGTAAAGAAAATGCCTATTTTCATAAGTCCCCCAGGCTACAGGTTTGGCTAGTTTCAGGGCACGCCACCAGACTTCCCTGCGTCCCCACAGCAGGCAAGCAGGGCTGGTGACTCAGTCAGCACCTGAGGACAACCGACACCCTGCCAAGCACCTGCTGCGAGCACAATGGTCAACAAGTCCTCTTAATGCAGACAGTTGTGGCCACAGATGAGCAGCGCAGCCCTGTCTAAAAGAGCTGATGGCCTGGAGAAGTGGCTCGGTGGTTACGAGCACTGGCTGCTCTTCACAGGACTCAGGTTTGGTTTCCAGCACCCACGTGGCAGCTCACTGTCTATAATTCCAGTTCCAGCGAATCTGACTCTCTCTTCTGGCCTCCATGTGATGCGTGTGTGTGTGCGCGCACACACACACACGACCTGGAAAAAGGACTTCTAGTTTGCAGTGACAGGCAATGTTGCCAGGCACAGCAAACAACAGCATGTGCAAAGGTCCAGGGATAAAAAAGCATGACGTTTCTCAAACTGTAAATGTTCTGTGGTTAAGCTTACAGGATCTGGTTTTCAGAGAGATGGTGCTGGGGATGAAACAATGCCTTTTTCTAGGCCACGGGTAACCCCAGGTAGTGAAGTAAAACAAAACAAAACAAAACAAAACAAAACAAAACAAAACAAAACAAAACAAAACAGCAGACACCCACTCTATCTTGTTTTGTGCAGGGAACCCTAGACAATCTGAGTCAGTGGTGGAGTCTAAAAACACCCTATTAGCCTGCTGGAGTCACCCAGTCCTCTGCAGTCAGCGTGGAAAGCAGCAGATGAGCTGGTCAACCTCACACCGAACTGAAAGATGCGCACAGCGCCCAGCTGGGTCAGAGGACGAGCACTCT